ACACACACACACACACACACACACACACACACACACACACACACACACACACACACACACACACACACGCACACACACAGCCACACACACACACACAGCCACACACACACACAAGTGCGAGCGAGCGATGTGGAAACCTTCATCGATGCGGCGAGGGTGAAGACGGAGACGTTTCCGTTGCTGAGACCAAACAGAAGGACACCGTCAATATGTCCGACGCTCGTCACGCTCCCAGACAGCAGAATTGGCCGGTCCTTCAGCGCTGTACGTGGTCATGGGGATGGAGGGTGATGTGAAGGGTGAATGTGATGTGAAAGGTGAATGTGATTTGAAGGGTGAATGTGATTGGGCATTGATGTGGACGTGCTCCTTACTTGCTTACAATGCATTCCCTCCCCTCCAAAACACAAACACACACAGAGGCAAATACCTGCTGTGGATGATGCTTTGGCTGTGAGAGAGACGACGGAGAGACGTGCGCGCCCAAGCTCGGCCAGGAAGACTTGCTGTCGCGTCGGATGAGTGAAATTTAAGAATGACGCACGATCTTGCCCCGACCACACACACACACACACACACACACACACACACACACACACACACAGTGAGAGACACGCACACACGCACACACACACAGACACAGACACACACACAGACACGCACACAGACAGACAGACACACACACACACACAAAACCCCATCCCTGTCCACCTCTACTCTGCACCTGGTTGTGGTCGTCCTGAATGGCGGAGAAGGCCTTCTGCTTTGTGGCGATGGAGCCAATAAGATGCAGCAGCTGCAGCGCCGGTGTTGCTCGGCTCTTCGGTCGCCCTTTCCCCTTCGCTCGCGACGCACTCAGCCATGAACACGCATCAAACAGAACAAAGTGGCCGTCGCAGCTCACAGCAACATGCGTGAGCACACGCGAGGCATCATTGTCGTCGTCAGCGATGTAGGTGCTGCTGCTGCTGCTACCACCCATCGCAGTTGTGCTGGTGCTTGCTGCGCTCTGCGCTTGTGGCAGCGGTGTGGTCGCAGCTGTCGATGCAGGTGTGCCTGACGACAGTTGCGCTGGCTGCGGTCGAGGGAAGAGGTGGGCATGCTCCGCTCGCGATAGCAGTGGCACCACATCGGTGATGCTGCCGCCGCCATGGGGCACCGGCAGAACGCCCTGGTCAACAATGATGCTCTTCATGTTGTGGTGTTGTGCTTGCTGTGTTTGCTTTGCTGTCGGCGGTGGCGGCGGCGGTGCTTGCAGGCACATGTACACATGGGTGGTTGGGTGGTAGACGAACAGCACCAAATCAGCCCCAGTTGGTTGCTGGGCGTCTTCGCCATCCTCTGCACTGGTGCTGGGATGCATGTGCTGATCTGCATCCCGGCCTTGGTGCGGCTGCACACGCCGTCGCTGTCGCAATGGAAGGAGTGCAAAACACGGCAGCCCTCGTGCTCGCGGCGGCAGCTCCATCACCACTTGCCAATCAAGGCGACCCGAGCCATCCGTATCGCCACTGCCGTGCTTGATAGGAGCGCCGATCAGCAGTGCCCCGGCGCTGCGGCCGCTGACATGCGGCGCCGGTGCGGGGAATGCCACCGCTGCATTCGGCTTCTTCTTGGGCTGTTTGTTGTGTTCGGGCCCCAGTACGGACTCTGAACGAGTCCATATTCTCCCAAAGCACACCTGCGCGTCTGCCGGCAGCTGTTGCTGCTCCCACCCCTCTGCATCATCAACAGGCGCAAAGAGCATGGTCATGAAGCAACTGGGAAGGTGGGCGGCACACGCCACAACCGCACATGTGTGTATGTGTGCCGTGCGCTTGTGTGTGTGTGTGTGTGTGCGCGCGCGCTTGTTTGAGTGTGTTCGTATAATTTGCTCTGCGTCCAAAGCAGACACCATGACACACACACACGCACATGTCTTCTCACACCTTGAGCGTGGATAAAGTTGTCGCCTTTAATAGCTTGCAGCTCCTCGCGAATCAAGATCTCCTTCCAGGCCGCCTCAAACATCCGCTTCACAAGCCCATCTTCACACACACGCACAGAAGGCATCGTGAGCGCAGGACGTGTGAATCACGAAGCGGGTGGCATCAGGAGTTGGAGACAGAAGCAGACGCATAGACACACACACAGGCACACACACAAAAGTCAGTGCACTCACACACCGATGGTGCGAAAGGGCTCAGGCAACACAAACGACATGGTTTGGTTTGGTTGGTTGTCCTCTTTTGCCGTCGTTACATCGAAAAGTTAAGCACATCTTCCATTAATCCTCCACAATGCCAACCCATCGATTCGACTTGCTTGCTTGCTTCAGTGTGGCAGGGCTGTACTGCTGTTGAGACGGAAAGGACAGCGAAACGAAACAAGGCCTCCAGCTGGACAGAAACGGGAAAGCATGAGATGAACAAACAAACGCACACACACACACACACATCAATGGAAACAAAGGGCAGACAAGTCACGTTGGATGACACATGGAACCGCGCGCTAACATGCGGGCACACTGGCATGTGCACGAGTGCAAACAACATCACCAGGCAAGAAAGAAAAACAATGGCACCACCAACACCACCAACATCAAGGCACTACCAGCACCACTATCAGCGTCAAGGTACCAACAACACTACAGACAGCAACGGCAACATCAGCAAGAAGCTATAGCAGAATGAAACAACGGTGCAACGTGTCGACAACACAGAGCACAATCCCCCGCCAGCTGGGCATGTGCGTCTTTATGTGAGAGGTGTGATCGCGCAAGCTTCAAGAGGACTCGTCCACGGACAGCGCGGTGGACTTGGCGCGCACGGGCGGCTTAGGCTTTGGCTTTGGCTTGGGCGCGGGCGCGGGCGGTGGTGCGGCGGCTGTCTTGGCCGCTGTTGGAGGAGGAGCAGCCACGCCGCCGCGTGGAGGTGGACGCGGCTTGGGCTTGGCTGGCGACACGGGCGGTGCAGGCTTTTCGGCAGCCAGCGGAGGTTTGCTGTCCCACGCTTCATCGTTGGAGATGGTGGACGCCACGCTCGTCCGTGACGCCGTCTACCGCAGACAGTTCCAGAAACGGAAACCAAGCAAGGACGCGGGAGATGTGAAAGAGGAATTAGCTTGCAGCACATCGCAGCACGATCGAGCCAGGGCACAAAACACACGTACACACAGACACAGGCATTTACACAGACAGACACACACACAGACACAGGCACTTACACAGACAGACACACACACAGACACAGGCATTTACACAGACACACACACAGACACAGGCATTTACACAGACAGACACACACACACTCACACACACACCTACACAAACAGACGTAAACACACACATAGGCACTTGCACAGACAGACACAGACACGCACAGACGAATACACGTACACACAGACACGCACATACACAACAGCAACAAGGCCGTGCTTCAGGCTTACGTGTGTGAGGGACGTCTTGGAAGGAGTGCGATCCACCTGTGTCTCCCCGAGGAGCGAGGTGTCCGACAGCAGCTTCGCTGGCGGCGGTGGTGGGGGCAGTGCGTCGTCATCACCGTCAACAGAGACCGGCACGCCCGGTGGTGGCGGCGGCGGCAGCTGCTGCGGGGGCTCGTCTGCTGCTTCCTGCTGTGGCTCTTCAGCCTGCACTGCCGCTGGTGGCGGCGGTGGTGGTGGTGCACTCTCGGGTGGTGGCGGCAACTCATCACCTTCACCTTCACCTTCACCTTCACCTTCCTCCTCTTGTGGCATCTTCTCCTGCTGTTGAGGCACTTCACCTTCCTGCGCCTTCCCCGTCGGCGCTGGCGCTGCTTGCTGCTCCGATACCTCCTCGGTCGCACCATCATCACCGCCTTCTTCCTCTTCAGCAGCACCGCTAGTCTCCTGTGCTTCGAGCTTCTCCTCCTCCTTTTCTCCCTCCGTTGTTGCCGCTGGCTCCTCGGAGGATGGTTCCTTAACGTCTTCAGCAGCCGCGTCTGCCTGCTCCTGTTGTTGCTGTTCTTCTTCTTCTTCTTCCCCGTGCTTCTTCTCCTCTTCAGCCCCTGTTGCTGCTGCCGTCCCCTCTTCCTCCTGCTTTTCTTCTTGCTCATCGTGCTGGGCGGCAGTGGATTCTTCATCCTTCTTCGCATCCGTGGCGACCGGAGGCTCCTCTTGTGTCCCCTGTGCTTTCTCTTCCTCGCCTTCATCACCAGCGCCAGCAGCAACAACATCGTGCGTGCCGTTCCGAGCAGCCCCGCTGTCTTCCTTCTCTTCCTCTTCCTTCTCCTCCGCTGCTCCAGTCTCCGTTTCCGCCTCCTTCTCGTCAAACCCCGCTGCTTCTGCTGCCTCCGTCTTGTCTTCAACCTTGTTCTTCTGCCTTTCTTCGTCCTTGGCCTTGTCCCCGTCTTCGTCCTCGCCCTCCAAGCGCGCTGACAGGCGGGCGTGCACCTTGGCGGCGGACGGCTTGAGCGCCGATGGCGGCAGCAGGCGAATGCCACCCACCACGCCCTTGGGCTTCGCAGCGGGCATCGGCTCCTTGGCCTTCTCCTTCTCCTCTCCCCCCTTCTCCTCACCATCAGCCTTCTGTTTGTCTGCCTCGTCACCAGCACTGCTGCCTGCTGTCGCTGCCTCAATGGCAGTGGCTTCCTCCGAGCCCACAGGCGCTGCAGCAACGCTTGCCCGCTTGCTGCTGGGTCCGCTCTTGGCTGCGTCTGCGGTGGGCGCGTCCGCTGGCTCCTCCGCTGTCGCTGCCGCCTCAGTCGACTCGTCGCTTGTCTTCTTCGTCTTCTCACCACCAGCAGCACCAGCATCGGCCTCTGCCTTCTCCTCCTCCTTTTCCTCTGGCTCGGCAATGTCATGTGACTTGGACGCTGACTTGAACAGGCGCCCAAGCAGCCCACTCTTGCGCTTTGTTTTGCCTTCGCCCTCCTCCTCAGCACCGGCCTTGTCCTTCTTCTCTTCCTCCTTTTCTGGCGGCTGCTGTGCCTTGCTTGCTGGCGGCCTGCTCGGCGGGGCTGGGCGCGGCTTCGGCTGTGGCGCCTGCGGTGCTGCTGCTGTCGCCTCGCTGCCTGCTTCCTCGTCCACCACAGACGTGCGCTTTGGTGGGGAGCGCGATGGTGGCGGTGGACGCATTGCAACGCGAGGCGCCTCGCTTGGTGGTGGCTTGCGTGGTGCGGCTGTTGGCGCCGTCACGGCTGTGGATGACGTTGTGCGCGACACCGTTGCGCTCGTCGATGCATTGCCCTGCTCGTCCTCGCCGCGTGCACGGCGCTGGCGTGTTGGCGGGCGTCGACCACCGTGGCGCGGACGGCCCTTGTTGGCGTGGTGCAGCTGCGGGTTGTTGGACGCCTTGCCCGCATCAGCGGGCGGCAGCTCAAACCCAATAGGCGCCTCGTTCTTCACATCGCTGCACATGCAAACAAATTACGTGTACATGAGTGAGTGAGTGAGTGAGTGAGTGAGTGAGTGAGTGTGTGTGTGTGTGTGTGTGTGAGTGTGTGTGTGAGTGAGTGAGTGAGTGAGTGAGTGAGTGAGTGTGTGAGTGTGTGTGTGTGTGAGTGAGCAAGTGTAATTGTGCGTATGGCAGGGAAGAAATGGCGCAAGATGAGGGTGCAAGCAGGCGCAAACTCGGAGATGTCTTTGTGTGCCAGCATGTGCTCGAGTGCACAGTCGCGATGGCGACGTACATTGACATGGTGAGGTCGGTGATGCGCACGCTGTGGGTTTTCTGGCGCGCCTGCTTGATCTCAGGCAACTCCTGCCATTTACGCGTTTGCGATTGGTCGGTTAATTGGAAGGTGATGTGAGCGGAACAGGGCACTTTTATGCAGGTGCACTGATCCGACATGAACACACACGCGCATGTGAAACACACAACACTCACATCATACACATAGCACACATAACTCTCACCACACACCCACACACACACACACACGCACAAACACACACAACACGCACCTCGACGTTTTCGACACCCGACGCATCGCGGGCGATGAGGATGGCGCGGAGACGCTGGACAGCGCGGTTGATGATGAAGTCCGTCACGTTCTCCGCAGCGGTGCTCACCTGTGGCCAGAGGAACAGGGCGGCGGTAGGGGGAAGGGGAGGAAGGATCACATGTGAATGAAGACCCATTGTGAACGAAGATGTGAAACCATGTGCGAACGAAGACGACTTTGGAGAGCAAGCATGCGCACATGCACCACACGCGCACGTACATACACACACGCACGTGTCCATGCACATACACCCATACACACCTGCTGTGCGGCGGCGTTCATGACGTGGTTGCAGGCAGAGTCAGCAACCGCAGTCACCACTACAAGAGCAATTGTCAAGAGTAACACCGCCACCATGGTTGCACGGTGAGCAACACGAGCAAGGAAGGATGCCAGACTTATTCGGTAGCAAGTGACAACAAGACACGGATGGCAAAACCAAAGCCAGCAAACACCACGGCACGTGGTACGCACCGAGCTCCTTGCAGAGGGTGTCGTGGTCCTCCTTGGTTGGGCGGAACAGATCGTCAAGACTCTCGCCAGCAGCGGCCTGCACGCGCACGCGAGAAGAGGTGCAGTGAGCACATGGGGCCGTGCGTGAGACTGGCGTAGCGCATGGGGGAAAGCAAAACCATAGGAAACTCACCACCACACACATACACACACACACATACACACACATACACACACATTCGCGCGCGCACACACGCACATATACACACTCACGCACATACACACAGAGAGCACGCACCTCTGTGGCAGCGTAGAGCTCCTGCACGCTTGTGTTGAGCATGGTGCTGAGGGAGGCGGCGAGGTCGCCACCAAAGTCGGCAAACTTGTGGGCAAGCTCGCCCGTCAACGTCTCCTCAAGCTCGCGTTGCACTGCAGAGTATGTGCCAGCCAGCATGAGGGTCAGTTGGGGTGAGTTGGAGCGACAAAAAAGTGTGACGAATAGAGGCTTACACACATGCACACAAACGCACACAAATGCACATGCACACACCCACGCATACCTTTAAAGACGGTGCCGGAAGCGCGGACGGTAGTCGATGCGTTTGCCAGCGCCTCGTCCTTCTCTTGGCCATCCTGTAAGCAGGCACGCCACCAGGGCGACAAAACAAGACCGGGAAGCAGGCATGAGACGTGCGGTGTATGCATTTGCATCACATTGCATGACATGCGCGCTGGCATTGTAGGCCGCCTCTTCGAAACGTTCCTGTCAACTGTCACCTCAAGTTGCCAATCAACAACAATCGACAATGACCACCAGCACGGCAGATGTGATCATGGTTGACACGGAACAAACCAGCGCACCTCGCACACGGTGGAGACTTGGTCAACGAGCGTGGCCAGCAACCGCGCCTTCGACGATGATGAGTCGGCCACCACCGTCGTCTTGGCAGCAGAGAGGTGGCGCGAGGGACTGTGATTCTGCGCGAGCGAGGCCTGGATGTCATTGAGGGTGGCGACGAGGGACGGGGATGCCTTGGACAGGGCCGAGCCAATGTCGTTGAACGGCAGGGGAAAGCGCTTGAGTGTCTTGTTCGTGCGCAGTGCGGACGCAATCTCGCGCAGCCCCGTCTCAGATACGCCGTTCTCGTCCATCCGCACTTCCTCCAGCGTCTGCAGGGCACAATTTGGGGGGGGGGGGTATGTGCGTATGTGATTGAGTGAGTGTACGTGTGTGTATGTGATTGAGCATGTTAACGTAATGCGTGTGTGTACGCGCAGCATGATGCGTGCACGTGTATCATCTCAGTCAAGAGCGGCCCTGCCAAACGGATGGTTCACACTTCTTTGCGCCATGGGTGTGACACAGCACCACAGCACCTGGTTGTAGTGGAGCATGCTGGCGACCTGGCGAATACCGCAGTCCCCAAGCATGTTTCCAGACACGTCCAGCCACTGCGCACGCACACATGGGAGATGGAGAAGTGCAAGGGAGTGCGGAGGTGGAATGAACGCGATGTGATGGGTTGGGTTTCCAGGCGATAAACAGGAGACAATACAAGCGTAGTTTCATCACCAACGACCGCAGCCACCTCCACCACCACCAGCAGTACCACCGCCATTGTAAAGCAGCGCGTGACCGTACCTCGATGGTGGTGTTGTGTCCCAGTGCGGGCAGGATCTTACAAAAGTCCGTCTTCAGCTTGAGATGGCTCAGATCGAGCTCGGCAATGCCCTGCGCACGCATTTGCAGATGAACACACACACACACACACAGTTAAGTGTCATGATGGCACAGTGTCAAGCACGCATGATTTCACACACGACCAAAGGACGCGACCAAGGGAAATGGCATGTGTCCGCACCAGAGATCCCTGGAAGAGCGTGCGCAGCGCCATGAGCGTTTTCTCCGCCGTCTTCGCCTTGCCGAGGTTGTGGCTAACGTCCAAGCGCTGGTGCACAGCAGCAAAGCCAGGCATGTACCGAAGGCAAGTGTCATAGGCACGTGTGCATGCATGTGTGAATGGGGGTGGGGCGTGAATTGCGCGAATGCGATGGGCAACAATGCACGCGACAGGCGATGCAAGCACCCACAATAGCGCCGTCGCCGCTGCACGAAACATAGTATGAGAGAGCACACAACCAAACGACAGGAGCAGTGCTCCCTACCCTGAGTGTTTTGCTGTTGGAGGAAGCGGCACCAATCAGCCTGGACAGGCCCGTGTCGCCAAAGTCTAAACATCACATGCACGTGTGTGTGTGTGTGTGTGTGTGTGTGTGTGTGTGTGTGTGTGGTGAGCGCAGCGGTGAAGGCTAGAGGTGATGAGGTGAGATTCCACGTTATCCTGAACCGGGAAACGGCCGAGCAAGGTACAGAGAGGAAACGTGCACTTCGTGTGCACTTCGTGTGCATTTCGTGTGCATTTCGTGTGCATTTCGTGTGCATTCATGTGCATGTGCACTCGTATGCATGTGTGCATTTGTGCGTATGCGCAACAACACTGCTTGTTCTTGTTGTTCTCCTCCCCTCTCCTCCTTGCCCGTTCAAGAGCAGCGAACCGTTTGCGCTGATGTCCAGGGCCACGACGCATGCGAGGCGCGGCAGCGTGTGGTGGATGACGTCCACACACCCATCGTCGCTGCCAAGGTCGCAGTGCGCGAGGTTGAGCGACACGTTCGACAGCAGCGGGTTGTCCGCCAGCGCATCTGCAGCACAATGGAAGGAGGTGTGCGTGCGTGTGTGCGTGTGTCCGTGTGTGCGTGCGTGTGTGCGTGCGTGCGTGTGTGTGCGTGTGCGTGTGTGTGTGCGTGTGTAACATAAGTGCGTGTGCTTGTGTAACACAAGTACGTGTCTGTGACGTGCAAGCATTGTGTCGAACGTAAACTGTCGTACAGGCGCACGAAAGAGAACGAAGCAAAACAACACTGTGACACATCCATAGGAGTGCGCAACAAACACAATGCCAACAAACACAATGCACCACCGCTGTCATGCGCACCGAGAATGGCCTTGAGGGCGTCCTTGGGCAACTTGCAACCTGCGAGGGAGAGGTGCGTCAGGCACGGCGACCGCTGGAAAAACGCAATCGCATTCGGCTGCAGCCGCGTCGTTTTCCTGTTGGGAAGAGGAGGGGGGGGGGCGGATGTGCGCGAGGGAGGATGAAACGCAGGGTGAGATTGCGTGCAATGTGTGGTGGGGGTTGGGCATAGGTGTACAGCGTGCACGTCGAAGTCGTCGTGCGTTAACACGGGTGGGTGCAACTTGCATTTCAACGCACACACACACACGCGCGCGCGCGCAATGAACACGATCACAATGACACACACAGACACACACACACAGACACACACACACACACACCTTGCTGAGAACTTGCAGTCGGCGAGCTTGAGCACAGCGAGGTGTTCAAAGATGGACGTGCCAAGCGTGGTCAGCACGGCTTCAAGGCTGCATCCCGTGTTCGACACGTCAAGGTGACTCAGCACATTGCTGCCGGACAACAGGTCCGCAACCGCCGTCACGCCATCCTGCAGGCCACCACAAATATATACGGCGTGGCAGCGGTGAGTTTGAGAGTAGGGGTGGTTGTGGTGTACCACCTAACACAACAAGCGACACACGAGCACGCGTGCCTTCACGCACACACACACACACACACACACACACAAAGCACACACACACACAAAGCACACACACACAAAGCACACACACACACATACACACACACACAAAGCACATGGGCACAGAACATGACACACACGCACGCACAACAGAATAAAACACAAACACACAGAACAACAACACACACAACGACGCACCTGCCCGATGTTGTTTCCGCTGACGTCAATGATCTGAAGACTGGTTGCGGAGCGCTTGTTTGCACAGAGGGCGCGGGCAAGCGGCGCGGCGGCCTTGGAGGACATGCCGACAGACGCGAGATGCAGTTCACGCACACCCAGGATCAGCGTCTCGATGGACGCGGCCAGCTCAAGTACAACACCGTCGCCCAGGCTGTGGGGGTGGTGGGGATGGTGCGTGGTGGAGTGGTGGCGGTGATTAGGCGGGAAGGTGCGTTAGCGAGAAAGAAGCGTGCGAGAGCACGCCGTTTTGTTGTAGCTCTCCCTCCCACACTACCTCACACACACACACACACACACACACACACACACACACACACACACACACACACACACGTGCACACACACGTGCACACACACGTGCACACACACACACACATGCGTGCGCACCTGTTTTCGCTAAAGTCGATGTGGCTGATGGACTGGCGCCTGTTGCTGCCGAGGGCGTGGCAGAGGCGGGACCAAAACTTGGTGTCGGCCTGGATGTGGCGCAGCGTCAGCCGCTGCACGTGGCACGTGCGACGAACCAGCGACACCAACGCATCCAACGTCTCCGTGGACTGCCGCATTGGGGGGAGTGATGGGTATCGTGAGGATGGTAGTCATGATGGTGGTGATTCGAGGGGTGGGTGCTTGCACACACGAGAACATATAGCACACACGAGAACATATAGCACACACACACACACACACACACACACGCACACACACACACACGCACACACGCGCGCGCATACATGCACACACACACAAACACACGCACACACGCGCGCGCGTACATGCACACACACACACAAACACACACACACACACACACCAGTTTGACGTTCTTGATGACGACGGAGGTGAACCACGAGTTGTGCAGAAGGGCGGTGATGAGCGCGGGCGCAAAGCTGACCGTTAACACCATTCCCATCAAAGCGATGCAGGCATCACCACAGCGTGAGATATGAGGCGATGCACATTCACGTGAACGGTGAACCGTGTGCAAGTTCATTCACGTTCTCCGTCCCGCCACACCTCAACCAAAACGCAGCAACTGCGCACAGCACCGACCACGCCGACGTGCGTTTCACCGTATTCGCTACGCACCCATCCTGCAAGAGGTGGAAGTCGTCGGCAACAAACTCGCGTTGGCGAGAGGTGTGGTAGCGCTCAATCAGCTCCTCCATCCCGGGAAAGATGCTGCCGATGCCGTGGTAGTCGCACGCCACCTTGAATGCCTTTACAAACCCGCCTGCAAAGCCACAACGTCGGAAGGTTGTGATGGTGAGCGCGTGAGCGTAAGCGTGTGAAGGTTGTGTGTATATGTGTGTGTATGTGTGTGTATGGGGGGGGGGGGCACAAGTTGGTTAGCATGCGTGCGTGCGTGCGTGTGTGTGTGTGTGTGTGTGGATGAGGACGTGGATGCAATTGAGCTCGTGCTGCTGCTTGACCACAAAGGGTGGTTAGGTGGGCGGTGATGTCAGTGGATGGGCCACCACGAAAACCCGTTACTTGCGGCGGTAGGAGTTGCCAGTTGCACTTGCGAGCACAAAACAGACAATACTGCACGACGGCTTGCGTACCGCATGGCTGTGGCGTGTCTGTGGAAACGCGTGGGATCTTTGCGGGAATGTTGCAGTTGAGGATGTTGCTGAGGGACGCGTGCGGGAAGATGCGCCTCAGGAGTGCGTAGATGGCCGTCACAAACACAGACGGCTGAGCTTCAACGTTGGCCAGAAGCCACTCCTGGTTCATGCCAGTGATGCGAATGGCCTGTACGCACAGCATGGATGTGTGTGTGTGTGTGTGCGTGTGTATTTGCATTTGCGGGTGTGGGTGCATTTGCGTGTGTGTATTTGTGTGTGTGGGTGTGTGTTTGCGCGTGTGTGTGTTTCCGTGCAGGCGCCGTCATTTCACATGGAAGAAACAAAAGCACACACACACACACACACACAACACATAACACATAACACACGCGCATACAGTCACACACATACAGTCGCATACACATACACGACGCACAACACACAACACACGCCCATACAGTCACACACACACAACACACACAACACATACACATACACGACGCACATGTACCTGTTCGTTGCCGTGGGTGACGGCGTTGATGGAGATGACATCAAGGATGTGCATGGTGGTCTCGATTTTGCCTCCTTTTGGGGCGATGAGGTGGAGGGATGCCTGGTGCAGCGCCAGCACAACATCGCGGCGCTTGTCTTTCTCCACGTGGGTGACGTGCTTTGTCTTTGTGACAAACGCCGCCTTGACGGCGCTTTTCAGCGCTGCGGCTGCAATGTCGCCTGCGCTCGCCATGGCTTTCCCCTCCGCGTTGGGTGTGCTGATGTGGCACCTGCCTATTCCTCAGCACCAGCGGTCCTTGAACAAAGTCTGAGAGCTGTCCTTGGGCTGGTGGGTGGTGTATTTGAAGAAGGTGGTGGTCGTGTTGTTTGTTGTTGGTGTTTGGCTTCTTGTTGGAGTGCGCTGAATGTGCACACGATATTCTATGCAAATCTTAAACCAGAATTCCGCACCCAAAGATAGAGAGGACGCAAGCGAGGGAAGCAAGTGTTGCACGTCGTCCTGCTTTGTCTCCATACTTCTTACTTTGCGGTGTGTTGTCTGTTGTCTGTTGTTGTATTGTGTTCGCCTTGGCATGCATGATGCGTGTGCTCGCACGGAAAATAATAAGGAAAACAACAGAAGAGAGGGTGGCTACCCTTGCAGCGTGACCGCACTTGCATTGGAAGTCGAAGCTGTGGGAAGCAAGCAAAGAAAAAACACAAAAACACAACCATCGTGCACTCGCGTTCACACGCGTCCGCACACACTAGAGCACACACACACACACACACACACACACACACACACACACACACACACACACACGCACGCACGCACACGCGCGTAAACATGCGCAGTGTCATTGGTTGTCGTAGTAGCGCTTCTTCATGTCGCGGTACTTTCGCAACTTGATGGCGGGCACAAATTCGTTGTTGAAGTACCATCTCCCGCGCGCAACCGCGTGCAACACTTCCTCCTCCGTTTTCAGGTCCTTATTCGCCATAAACTCTTGCTGTGTTGCGTGCGTGCGTGTGTGTGTGCGTGCGTGCGTGCGTGCGTGCGTGTGTGTGTGAGGACCTGGTGGTTGCAGGAGAGAAGAAGGAAGACGAGCAACACACATGCACATTCACACACACACACACATTCACACATGCACATTCACATATGCACAAGCACACACACATGCACAAGCACTCACACACATTCATATACAAGGCTCACACTCATCCACAAGCACACGCACATAAACACACACACACACACAAGCGCTCACATACATAAACACACACAAGCACATAAACACACACACACACAAGCGCTCACATACATAAACACACACAAGCACATAAACACACAGGAGCGCACCTTCACCCTTCGTCGAACAACGTCCAGGCCAGCTGGATAGTCCTTGCCTGCAAATATGTATCGCTTGTACAACTCCCGCACCGCAGGGTGCATCCCCAAGCACGTGCGCATCATCCGCATGGCTGACGCGCGAGTGTGTGTGGAAGCAATCAAAACACTCCTCACAGCCAGCTAGTGCAGTGTCAAATCACACAGTCACACACAACCACCCTCAGTCTGAACGTATCCCAGTGTTGTCACACTCACACACACAGTCACACAATGAAAGATGTGTGACGTGGCGACCGCGAAACAATGCGTGTTTCGTCGAGTCAGCACCACTCCCGCATCAGCACCAGCAGCAGTCGTTGTTTTTGTTTGGGTTTGTTTTTTTTTCGTCCACGAGAGGAAAATCACACAAACACCACACACGCAGGGCTTTCCCTTCTTCTTCTTCTTTGCTTGTTGCTTGTTGCTTTGACGTTGTTAAGATCAGAAGCCGGCTGTTCAGGCGCGTGAGTGAGTTGTGTGACACATTGCACGGCACGAATTGCAGACAGGACGGACAGCGCATGCGCACGCACCACGTCCACACATCACACAATCATCACACTTTCACGACCCGGGGCCTTTATCTAACTTATTCCCGTGTGCTCAGCAGCCAGCACCCATATCTTTCGAACTTCTTGCTGTGTCAATAGTTGCAGCAAGCGCTCAGGCTTGCTCTAAGAGCCCAAACTTCTTTCTTCTCCCCGTTTCTGTAACTGTCGCCCCCCCCCCCTCTCTCTCTCTCTGCAAACGAAATCGAGTGCGCTGCGGACGCCGCTCTCAATCTCAGCCGTCTGGGAAGCGGCGCGCTGCCCTTGTCAGACCTCCACTCCCATCATGAAGTGGCTTCTCTCATACCTGGGCTTTGACAAGCTGACCGCCATCTTCAGAAAGCATGTCGCCCGGTTTGCCGTTCACAAAAGCCTCGGAAAGGTCCGGCTCATATGACATACGTATTGACATCAAGTGCCACGGCACCGCGAACAGCGAGCAGTCGTCTGCTAACTAACTAATGCTGCTTCCTCTCTGTTGAGCGGCCTTCTGCTCGCAGCAAGTCCTTGCTACCTGTTTAAATTTGTTTGAAGTGTGGATGCTCACGGCGTTTGTGTGGCTTGGCCTGCTCATCGCGTGCGATCACAGTTCCTCAAGTACAAGGTACACTTGGAACAAATCGAGACAACAAACTCAGATACCTTCTCGCTCGTTGGATTGGAACTGGATCCAAAGGTGCGTCCTGTGCTTTAACTTTCTCCAATGGCACGCGATTCCAGTCGACAACCTTCATCTGCGTGGTGATGAGAGGGTTCCCTGATCAGCTCTCGTGACTCATCATCATCATCACCACCACCACCACCACCATGGTAATCGCTTCTCTCTCTTGTCCCCTCACACAACTCTCTCGCTCTCTTTGTTGCCAACATGTGCTCTGTCATCACCGCCGCCATCGCAGTACCTGAACCAGCTCTTGTCCGATGCCGGCATCCATGTTGTGTACGGCTACATCGGCTCCGTGGAGGGAATGATCCCATACAACGTAAGTGCAACTGATAATGGCTGGCGACAGAAAGGAGAAATGAATTACTACCCAAGTCACCCTCCCCTTCCTTGTGTGGCTTCAATGTCAATCGCAGCTGCGGTGTGGTGCGGTGCGACCGTTACGCTGTTCCGTGCTGCCGCTGCTGCAACTGCCACCCTGCTGCCCACGCTCCCTGCTTTGACGAAACAGGGACGTGGAAGCGCACAGTCACTAACGCTATCGCTCACCGTTACTAACGCGCATATTGGGTGGTGATGCTCATTGGACTTTTTGGTTGCCGCCAAAAACACACATTCCATCAGAGCCTTTTGGAGGAAGGATGCAGCATCACGGTGAATAACATCGACCTTGTGCTGGCCCCACAGCCTGGCGCGCACAACCTGCCGGAGACATCTGAGCTTGTGCAACGCATGGAGGATCGGTTCAACTCGTTCCAACAGGAGCTGGCGGCTGAGGTGGACAGCGCCGCGCAGGAGGAAGGCGTCGATGTGCCCACCCCGCTCCCGCGCCAGTACTCCGAGGATGGCTCAGAAGAGGTGTGTGTGTGTGTGTGTGTGTGTGTGGGTGTGTGTGGGTGTGTGTGGGTGTGTGTGGGTGTGTGTGGGTGTGTGTGGGTGTGTGTTTGCATGGTCGAGCGTGTGTATGTGTGCTTGCATGGTCGAGCGTGTGTTGAATGCCATTGGCATACAGACAGCTGAACGTGGCCGTTGATGCGCCCGTGCCGTGTATGCCGGTGGCCATGTGCGTTCTCATCATTGCACGTGTTCCCTCACCACTGCACGTTCCTGCCGTTGCACGTGTTCCCACGCCAGCGAGAGGAAGGTCTGGACGCCCTCACTTACTTGGTCAAGTCCATCATGTCACGCATGACAGCAAAAGTCATCAACCTCAGGGTGCGTCACCATCAGATCTATGTGTGTGTGTGTGTGTGTGTGTGTGTGTTGTCCCTGTCTTCCGCTCCCTCCCCCGTTTCCCGTTCCCGTTTCCCTCTCCCCTCTCTCTTTCCCTCTGCTCATTCCCAGCACCATGTTTCCCCTTGGTTTGCCACATTGCCGGCTGCAGATTTATATGCTGGCGGAGCCACCCAGCGAAGATGAGGAAGGCGATGAGGATGAGGAGCAAAACAGCAGCACGGAAGGAACGGCTCGCCATGGCGGAGATGGGGCATCGAACGACGACGCAGCGAACAAGAAAACGCCGGCGCTCCTGCTTCATGTGCAGTCCATCACACTCAAAGACACGACCGAACACACCAGCGCACCCACCCGCGACAACGACCAGCTCAAGGTGCGCTGTGTGTGTGTGTGTGTGTGTGTGTGTGTGTGTGTGTGTGTGTGTGTGTGTACTAGAGGGAGGGGTGTTGATGGTCCGCTTTTGGGTATGCTCCTTGTTTGCACAACCACGAACGCCCAGCTCATACACACACACACATACACACACACACAATCACATTACCCCCGCCGCCAGATGGACGTTGCTGTATCGCCCGAAACGCACAAGGAGATTGTGATTGGCGGATTTGCGCTGCGGTATGTGGAGGCAGAGGGCGGCATCACGGAGTCGTTTCTCGAGAGCGAGGACGCGCTGGGGACTGTCGTCATGCAGAGCTGCAGCATCAACTCCCTGCAGCAGCACGACATTGTCAACCTCCTCATCCGCTCACAGCCGGGACCAGACCAATGCAAGGTGCGGCTGCACCGTCTTGACACTCGGCTGTGTCAATGTGTATGTGTGTGGTGTCAATGTGTATGTGTGTGTGGTGTCAATGTGTGTGTGTGCGTGTGTGATTGCGTCCCACACACGCCAACATCAGCAACCGTGTGCTCATTTCCAATGCTTGACACTTGTGGCTTCCATGATGCTACTGCTGCCGTTGCTGCAGATGGAAGTGAGTGGTGTGCTGCACGACATTCGCGGCGTGTTTGACCCGTCTGTCCTGTCGCGTGTGTCTGCAATCGCCACAGCGTTCTCTTCATCGTCGTCGTCCTCTTCGCCCGCTACTGACAATCCAGCCTCAGCAGGTGTGTGTGTGTGTGTGTGTGTGCGTGGTGTGTGCCCTGTTGAGAGGCCCTGGCTGTTGACGGCGTCGCTTGACCCTGCGCCTTGCATGCCCAACCGCTCCCTCCTGCATTCATCCTCGTCAACTTTGCTGTGCGTTGCAGAAGAATTCGAAGGCGCATCGTCTCGCAAACAATCACGCCGAAAGGCCATTCAGGTGCGTGTATACACGCACACACACACGCATACATCAACTAGTCCCACGCTGTTCTGTAGCATGGCTGCGTGACTTGTTACAGATTGCGTTTGCTTGACTTGCTTGTGTGTTACGGGACCGTTTCCACGGTGTTTGCTTGCTTTTCTGTTTGCACTCAAGACAATGTACCTCCAATCACCACTTACGCGCGCGCACACACACACACCACTCCTCCCCCAACATATACATGGTCTACAGTGCCAGCTGCGTGTACGCCAGCTGTTGCTGTCAACGGCGTATGCGCGAGAGGCCGACGTCCTTCACAGCGAAGCCACCGGCATCCTGGCAGCGACGACGGCTGGGCTAACGGCATCAGCAGATGATCTGCACCACTACAAGCACGCCATGCCAGCGGAATCACTTCTCACGTGGCTGCGGCAAATTACCGTGGACGTGAGCATTGGCGATCCAACGCGCACAGAGACCCGCATTGCAATCAGGGACGCGGCTGCCGTGGAGTTTAGCCCAAACCATCCCCACGACGATGAGGGCACAGGTGGCAGCCCCACTGTCGCGAATTCCAGCAACCATGTCGTCGCAGAACAAGCAGCGGATGCACAAAGCAATGAAGCCGGCAGTGTTGACAGCGCTTCTCGAGATGTTGGAGCCCCCCTGCCAAATGGATGGGCCACTGTGCTTTCGTTCCTTCCCCGCGTCACCTGCGAATACGGACACGGTGATGGTGATGGTGATGGTGACGCCGACGATGGCGTCAACGGCTCCACCCTCGGCGAAATGCACGCGTCTCAGGCATCTGTCTCCACCGTCACAGCTTCAACAGCAACAGCAACAGCAACAACAACAACAGCGGCAAGAGTGAGAAGCGCGCATCGCAGTGCGAGGTCAGAAGTGTCGGGCACGACGCTCTCTTCCAACACAGAGACGCTGTCTACTTCAAGCACGGGCCACGTGACGGCTGCCGTTGTGGGTGATGGCCACGATGACCAGGCAGCGGCTGCGCAGACGGCTGCAGAGCGCATGGCGTCATCACTCTTTGTGAGCCAGGACCCCGTGATTGACATTGTGATATCGAGTACCAAAGGCGCGCAGGGTGGCGCGGCAGAACGTTACGCCCATGCAACCGCTTCTGAACAGCCCGCATCGTCCACTGACAAAGGTTCAAGGACTTCCAAAAAGTCCAGGGGCTCACAGAAGGGTCACCGCGACGAGAGCAGCCTTCTGGCTGGGCGAGCATTTGCCCCTCGTGTTGGTGGCACGACGACAGTGCCTGTTGCTGACGGCGCCATGCACATTACACTTGGGCGCACGCTGTGCACGGCAGATGTCACCATCATAGATCGCTTGCACTATGTGCTGGACAGCCTTTCCTCGTCCTCCTCGTCCTCGTCTGCCAGGAGCGAGCAGTGTACTGCCGATGCGCGCCATGATGACGATGGCAGCGCGAGTGGAAATGCGGGAATAACCGACGCGGAGGGCATGGATGACGCGGGCGATGAAGACCGCGAGAAGGAAATGCGAGATAGGGCAACCAGCCGACGTAACAACAAGGGCGCCGGCATCATCATCCACGCCCCCGAGTTTCGGCTGTTGTTCCAGCCTGCAACGCCACATATCGTGAAGCGGCCCAAGCAGCCCACAGCACCGGGCGTCCCTCCGCCCGTGCCGTCGTATCGGCAGGACGCTTTCGCCGTTACGCTCCGGGACATGACGCTTGCGCTGCAGCCCTCGGCGCGCCTGTCCCTGCTTGATTCCCTGGCAGCGGCGCGGGGTTGGGCGCGTGCGTATGCGAACACGGACGCGTTCATGGCGTCACGCGACGCTGCCCGCTACGCACAGACGCTTGTGGAGACGTGGGCGGCGCACGTGCTGTCCGCGCTGCGCATTGACGTCGACTTCAACAAACTTGTGCTGTCACTTGCTGGCGGCTTTTCGGCGCGAGAAGCCGATCTTCCTCTCGTGGTGATGGAGTCGACAATGCGCCCACCGCCGCCACATCAACCAGCCACACCCGCAACGCCAGCACCATCGGTAAAACCAACAACAACAGCAGCAACAACGCGGACAAAGGCAACAAGTGCGCCTAAACCCTCGCAGCAGCGCTGTCACTTGTCTGTTCGGGTGAAGAGCGAAGCCAAGGACGCGCCTGGCCTGACAGCGCAGCACGTGCTCAGTTTCATCAGTCCGCTCATGGCTGAGCTGCAGAAGTCGGCAAACCGGGAGATGACGCAGCCGCAGACACCCGAGCGCATGCGCGATTTTGTTGCGTCGCTGTGGTGCCACTCGGAATACGTTGTTGCGCTTGACATCGGGCACGTGCAGGCGCACCTGCCCAAGGCGTCACTCGATACCCTCTACCAGCTCATCATGGACTTTGTGGAGTGGACACCCTGGCAACCGCCACCCCCTGCCTCGTTTGCCGGTGGTGATGGCTACGACAGCGCCAGTGCCTCCCACGCTGCTCGGAGCAGCAGTGCTAATGACGGTGGCGCTGACGGTGGCGCTGACGCTGCTGACGATACGTCTGTTGTGTCGCCCTCCGAGACGACCGGTGTGACGTCATACGCCACACGCCTCGACACCGAGACCGTTGCCACGACGGCAACAACAGCCACCACGGCCACGACGGCGACAACAGCGACAACCACAACAGCAGCTGCGCCAGCAATGGCGCGGGGCAAGCCGCAGCAAGGCCGGCGTCAGCGCTTGGTGCGGTGGGCGGACATTGATGGCAACCCCGGCAGCACAGGCGCAGCCCGGCCCAGCGGTGGCAGCGGTGGCAGCGGTGGCAGTGGTGGCAAATCAAAGGCACTGCCAGGGCGGCGCGATGGTGGTGCTGGCTACGCCACTCGTGGTGGGCAGTGGCTGAAGGCACTGCAGCACATGGCGTGCGTGACACTGCGCGCGCAATCTGGGCACGTGTGCATGGTGGAGCGTGAGCCGCATGCCCAGCCGCTCGCTGTTGGCCTGGCTGCGCAGCCCACGCGCTTTGAGCTGGCGTTTGGGGCCGCACAGCTGGTCGTTGCGCAGGGCCTGTACGGCACGACAAACCGCGACATTGTGTTCAGCTGCGCACAGCCACGGCTGCTGCAGCGCGACTTCAGCCCTTCGCAGATGCTGACACACGTGGAGCCGTCGGCGCAGCTGAGCCAGTTTGGGCAATTCTTTGCCGAGATGGAGCTTGCTGCGGAGATGCGCATGCATGGCATGGATGACGCTGCCGCAAACACGGGGTCAGGGCAAGGTGCAGGCGCCATGAACATCCCAGAGCTGACGTTTGTGCTGGACATGAAGAAGGCGGCCACGCGCACCACGACGCTGTGCCTGCAGCTGTGCAATTCCCGGCTGCACTACCACATTGACCCGTTTGGGCTGTGGCTGACGCGCGTCATCAACCTGCTCGACTTCCCTGATCCGCCCGACTGGCCCGCCTCGCCGCCCTCAACCTCTGGGCCCAGCATGACCAGGCTGGCCGTCTCCTTCTTCAACACGGATGTCATGTACAACCCAAAGCACATTGCGTGCGCCATGCTGGCGGAGGTCGGACGCTTGTCCGTCACCTCCAACATCGTCTCCAGCACGCCGTTCACCATCATCACCCTGGATGTCGACGACCTCAACGTCCGCTTGATTGACGACGTGGCACGCATCCAGCAGCACCAGCACGCCAGCGGCGGTGCTGGCGGTGGTGGCACTGGCAAGCGGGCGCCGGCCCTCGACACGGGGTCACGTGACTGGTTTGCTTGCGGCTGGCGCCAGGTGCTGTCTTCCGCGTACACACATGTCAACCTGCGCATGTGCGATGACAAGTCTGCGCCAAGCCTGGACGTGCTTGTCACCAACCGCGCAGGCGTGCTCTCCGTCTGCGCAGACTCGTTCATCACCCTGAGGGAGCTTGTCGAGTATGTGATTGACGATGGCGATCTTCGTGACGCAGCCGTTCCCGTCAAGAAGGGCGACAAGGGTGCTGCTGCTGCTGGTGTTGCCGATGAGCATGATCAGGGTGCGAGCCGGGGCCAAGCCGCCGCCACCGCCGCCTCCACGAAGCACGCGCATCAGCGGCATGACGAGCGAGCGGGTGATGCCATGGGGATGGACGGGGACAGCGTTGCTTTTGCGGATGCACTGGACACACTCAACACCGCACATGCGTTTGACAGCCACGACAACTTCGAGCATGCCACCGGCGCCGCCCACTACGAAGGCGAAGATAACAACGACGATGATGATGACGATGACGATGATGAGTTCAAGACGGCTGTGACGGTGCTTGCGCCCGCGCCACTGCTGCGAGAGAGCCCCACCAGCACGGCAACGCGTGACGATGGCGGCGATGCTGGCACAGGCTTTGACGATGTGGACAGACCGCACAGCTCGGCTGCGTTTTCCGTGTCATCAGCCGAAGACACGGTCGATGGTGGCCAGGAGCCGCGTCACAACCGGCGCCAACGCTCGGCCATGCTCGAGCGCATGATTGACACTACAGTCGCGCAGTACGAAGCCGAGGAGCGGAAACGCCGTGGCCACGATGGTGATGACCAAGGTGGCGATGATGATGACGACGAAGATGGTGAATATATTGGTGAGTCAAGCTATGGCAGTGGGGATGAAAACGACGGTGATCAGCTCGACAGTGACGCTGTGTCGCGTCGGCCACGTGCACGCCGGGCAAAGGACCTGCTGGGACAGCCGCTGGTGGCGGGCGGACAGATGACGACGTCGTACTGGGAAGGGGCGAGGGAGGAGGCCATGATGGAGAGTGTGATGGAGCCCGCGCGCACGGATGGAGGCGGTGACGGTCGCCACTCTGCGAGTCGCGTCGGGCAGGCAGGCAGTGGAGCGGCAGGGCTTGGAGGTGAGTTGAGTTTCCACGAAGATCATTTTTCGAGCGCCAGCGGCCGCGGTGGGCAGCCGGCCCGCTTCCAGACCGTTGCCACGTTTACTCCGCCGCAACCACAGAAGCCAGACGAGGCGGGGCAGGGGAAGGACAGGGCATCGCCGCGTGCGTCGAGCAAATCACCGGCAGGTGACACAAGCACGACACAGACGGCAAGGGATGGCGGGTTCTTGGGTTCGCTGACAGGGATGGTCCCCTCCATGCCCTGGGCATCGGCGCCATACGGCGCGCCATCGCAACAAGACCACCACCGCCACCAGCAGCAGCAGGAAGACAGGCCATCAGCGCGGAAAGTGGATGGAGAGCGACCGGTGGTGAGTGGGCGGACGTCTGTCACCGCCGCCACCAGCAGCTCAGGGGAGGGCGAGCAGGAGCTACGCATGTCCGTGGTCGAAGACAACGTGCTGTTGCAAAGCGTGCTGTCACAGGAGATGCTCGAGCAAGAACTGCAGGCGTCGCTGCAAGAGTGGGACGTTGGCGCCGAGAGCGACAGCAGCGAAGAGCGGCTGGCCATGCCCGAGTACATGCAAGAGCAATTCCTGAAGAGAAGCGGGGACGCAGAGGACCTGGAGCACCTCATGCACGGCTGGGGCTCCGATGGTGACAGGAATGAGGATGATGACGACGCCGCGGATCAGCATGCACGTGAGTCAACATATGAGGCATCCACTGGAGGAGCGTCAAATGGTGCGTCGAATGGTGCAGGGACACCAGCACCAGCAACAGAAGCAGCAGCGGAGGCGGGACGAACGAGAACACCTCCCGTGACGCACCGGCCCACAAAGCGCCTGTCAAAGTCGATGCTGCAGAACGAGGAGATTGTGATTGTGCACGACCACTTCCGGCCATCGGCGGCAGATGACGCAGACACGCGCGCGTATGAGTTCCTGCCCATGCCGAAGCAGCGGATTGTGCTTCGACGCATGGACATTGCTGTGAGGTTCCACGAAGGGCGCGATTGGGGCTGGGTTGCCTCCGGTTCCAATGCTCCAGCAGCAACAGCAACAACAGCAGCAGCGACAGCGACAGCAACAGCGCCAGCGACAGCATCAAGGCGTGGTGTTGATGAGGAGGAGCGCGGGAGATCGGCAAGCAGCGCCAGCGTGCGCAGCAGGGAGAGCAGCCACCACGAGAGCGAGCAGGCCATGCGCCTGGGCCCACGCAAGGATGACGCGTTTGTTGAGTTCCGTGCAGAGGGCATGTCGTTTGTGCAGGAGCAGTATGCCGCGGGCCAGCCGTATGCCTCGCGCATGGTGGTGGCGGTGCGGCAACTCGACGTGCTGGATCGCATCCCGGCGTCGTTTGTGCACATGATGGTGACGCACTTTGCCTGCAAGGAGGTGCCACGCGAGAGCAACAGCAACATGTTTCGGCTGGAGATGATGACCATCCGCACACCCGGGCTTGCGCGTGAGGACGGGGTGGACACGGCTGTCACGTCGGAGGCAATGATGACGGTGGACCTGCTGCCGCTGCGGGTCAATATTGACCAGGACACACTCAACTTCCTGGCCTCGTTCGTGACGTACGAGCCTCCCACGGAACGGATTGACGAGAACTGGGAGCTCATCTCCCGGCCCGTGTCGCCAACAGCGAAGAAGGCGGCGGCGGAACAGCAGGACATGAGCGAATCTGTGGAGACGCTGCGGCCACGACCAGACAGCCCTGGCACGCATCACGGTGGCAGTCGTGACGGGCGTGGTGGCGATGGTGACGATCGGAGTCATGCCACCAGCAGCCGCCGGCATCACCATCACCATCGCCATCGCCGCGGCCACGGCCGCAAGAGCAGCATTGGCGACCTTGAAGATGTGGCGGAGGATGTGACTGCTGCGACGCACGACACCGCAAGCGGACCCTTCCATGATGGATCATCATCATCATCATCATTCCGCTTCCCAGCTGCTCATGGCGATGGTGATCATGATGTTGATGGTGATCATGATGGCCACTTCGATGACGCCTTTGCGGCGGGCGGGTTGCCACGAACAACATCGTCGTCCTCTGGCTCCTCTTCCTCGTCGGCTGGTGCGTCGAGCGGTGTGTACTTCAAGCTTGTGCAGGTGTCGCCAATTGTGCTGGTGATGGACTACGAGCCCAAGCGCTTCAACGCGCCCAGTTTCGTTGCAGGCAACCTGCGGGAGCTTGCTGGCCTCGTCTGGCTGAGCAATGCCAAGCTTGCGTTCACCCCCGTGACGATTCGCGGTGTGCACGGCTGGGACGTCCTTGCAACGCAGCTCATTGACGCGTGGATGAAATGCGTGGCAACGGCGGTACGTTTTGCAACACGGGCACACCTTGACAGCTGTCATTTCCTCGTGGTTGTTCAGCATGTGTGTGTATGTGTGTGTTTTTTTTTTGGGGGGGGGTTGCTTTTTGTGTTAGTTGGTTCATGGTTTGTATGTCATGCGTGTTTGTGCTTGCGTCTCCACGGCTGTGCCAATGTCCCTTTCCCCACATGGACTCACGCTAACACACACTCATACGCACAACACAACACACACACACACAAACACACACACACAAACACAAAAACACACACAAACACAACACACAACACGACACAATGCAAACATTCTACCTCTGGCCTTTGGCTTTGGCGCAGCCGCAAGCGTGGAATCTGGTGCTTGCTGGCCTACCTGGCGGGTCGAGTGCGCAGGAAGTGGTGCGGGCTGGCGTGGGCATGTTCCAGCAGCCCGTCACCCAGTACCCGTATGTCCTGCGCGGCTTCCGCGAGGGCATGAAGCTTGGCCTGCGCACAACCGCCGTGGAGACGTGCAATGTGGCCACGGCGCTCGTGTTTGCCTTCCAGACGGCGGTCGAAGTTGCGCACGGCATGACCAGTGCCGATGACGGTGATGTGGGTGAGAGCCCACGCATGCGGCGGTCCAAGTTTGCATCGCAGCCCTCTGGTCTCAAGCACGGCCTCTCTATGGCATACGACGCGCTCTCCTCGGGCGTCACAGAGGCATACTACGACCTTTTCGTACGTCACCTTACTCTGTCTGTGTGTTTATGTGTTTGTGCGTGCGTGTGTGTGTGTGTGTGTGTGTGTGTGTGTGTGTGTGTGTGTGTTGTGTGTGTGTATGCGTGTGTGTGTGTGTGTGTGTGTGTGTGTGTGTGTTGTGCAAATTGAACAGGGGAAGCATCTTGTGCACGTCAGCATGCACGCATGCGTGCTGGAATGATACTTACATTTGGTACTGCTCATGTTGTGAACGCCAACAGGTTCGCCCACGTGAGCACGCACGCCGTCGCGGCACAAGCGCGCTGCTCCGTGCCATCGGTGCGCTCTTTTGCTTGTACTGTGTGTGTGTGTGTGTGTGTGTGTGTGTGTGTGTGTGTGTGTGTGTGTGTGTGTGTGTGTGTGTGTGTGTGTGTGTGTGTTTTGCAAGCGTGTATGTTTGTTGCCGCCTTTTGTCCATCGATCGTTCGTGCTGTTCTTCTCCTTTGTCGTCGTCGTCCTCCTCCTGTTTCCTTTCATCCACCTCACCTCTCCTCTGTGCCCACGGCCTCCCTGTCCAACTTGTTGTTCGTTTGGCCTTCAGGTTCTGTGCCTGGTGCTGGTCTTCGCCCCGTGATTGCGCTCTGCCAAGCAACCGCGCTCACGCTGCAGGTGTGGTTTTGGATGCCGTGGTTGAACATTCTACTCTCACCATCTGACAGCATGTGTGCACTCCTCACTTGACATCTCTGCTCATCTGTGCATGTCTGTGCTCAAACCCCCGTCGGCCATTTATCCCACATCTTCCTTCAGCTCGCTCACCCACCGTCCATTCCCTCCCCCCCCCCACACGCACACACACATCGCAGGGAATCCGTAACGGCCTGAGCCCCGAGCGCATGCAGGACCTGCAGAACAAGTACAAGTCTTGAAACCACCAGCGTTACAGCAGCCACGCCAGCCATTGAAGCCCATCATTTATCTCATCTATCGCATCGACTCGTCCATTTGATCTCATCAACTTTGTATCGTGTTGGTTCCTCCACACCACCAACTTAATCCGCTCATTATTTCAATGGAGGACAGCAAGCACATGGTAAGTTACAGGCTTTCAAATATGTTCCTATACTTCCGGGGGTTTTTTCCGCCAATTGGCTATGAAGTGTCAAAGTCACACACGACGACGAATATGCCATCCTGAATTCTGGATGGACGGGCCATGCTGAACTCTGAACTAAGACATGTATGTAGCCTGGCACATGACCAACCCATCCTATGAACGCGTCCTTTGCCTACATTTGACCTACTTGACCAGACATTCACGGACGAATGACCGTTTACAGCACAGACGCAGCTGTTGATTTGACGTTATGTTACAGCTGCCGTCTGAAAAGAACACATTGAAATGAAATGCAGATGTATTCCTGATATTCACACTGTTTGCTTCCGCTTGGTTTGTGAACATCCATTAAACATGACTCAAGTACAAATTGAAAGGTACAAGGTCTCACACTATGAAGAAGGTTGTGGTGGTCACGATGATGAGAAGACCACGCGACTATGCTTGCAGAAATACATCGCCACGCGCGCGCGTCTTGCAGGTTCGCCAGCCCGAATCAATGGAGTTCACGGAGCTCTCAGAGACGAAAGGAAGCGGCGAGAGACAACGAGAACGAGAGAGAAGTGTGTGTGTGTGTGGGGGGGGGGTGTGGAGGTACGGACCATTTGGAAAACAAAAATGGGTGGATCATGTTGCCCCTTGGTGGACGGTGAACTAATCAGCATGACGCCAAGCTGTTCCCAAGACATTACTGCGCAGAGGACGGGTGCAGTTGCTCCAGGTAGCGTTGACGCGCGTCGATGCATCGTTCAAGCAGCGGGACATCAACATCTGGCGTGATCCGTCCAGCTTGCGCCTCAACCACAATGACAGAGGTCTGTGGAGATGAACGCGGGAGGGAGAGGCAGTTGAAAGGGGTGGTGGTTGTTGGTTGAGAGGGTCGTGTGGGTGGTGATGGGACATTCAGATGATGGGACATTCAGAAGCAAGCCAGCAGCGACGGTGACAGTGGAAAGAGCGGCGATGGTAAGAGCCGCGGTGGCGAATGTCACGAAAAAGTTCCCAACGCCCAAACACACAGATACACGCACGCACACAGCCACACAGCCACACACACACACGCACACGCACGCACGCACACACACACACGCACACGCACACACACGCACACACACGCACACAGACACACACACACACACACACACACACACACACACACACACACACACACACACACACACACACACATAGACAGACACGCGCGCCCGCACGCTACCTGGTCGTGAGCAGTGTAACCTAGAATGGTCCAAATATCGCCGCGCCGGATGGGGACCGGCCCGAGCAGCGCAGCGTTGATGCGAACACGCGCGCCACGGTGGCCCAGCACCATGGTCTGCGTGCTCAAGTCAAAAGAGTGGAGTGCACCCACCACGCGCACGCACTGGCCAGGCGGGAGGCTCGACACGTGGCTTGGCAGCAGCACCACGTGAGCGTCGCGCGACACGATGCCCCACATCGCAAAGACCTCGTTGTCCACAAAAAGCGGCGCGAAAGCCACGCTCGCAGCGCAACGGACAAAGCTGTACGTCACCAGCGGCTTGGGTCGGATATGGCGCGCACGGGCTCTGTCAGGTGGAAGACGAGGTAGAAGACGCAGCTCAGCAGCGTGGCCAGACACACTGCAAACAGGATGGCGCTCCGGATCAGGATCAGGTACGTTTCGCTCTGAGGTTGGGCCGTGAGGGCGAAAGGAAATGCATGCAAGCGTTGAGGGAACAAGCGCGGGGCAACCGCAAGCGAAAGTGGTTAGGGGTCGCTGAGAGCCAGCTGAGGTGGGGAGAGGATCTGCGGAGCAAGTACGTGCTTATGCAGTGCAACAACACAATGGAACACAAACGTGCAATGTCAAACGTACTTCGGATTGGAGAGGGTCTGGTGTTGGCGGGTTTTCTCCTTCCCGTGGCCACGTCACCAAGATCAGCGTGATGAGTGCGGCGCCGGCCGCACACGCGATGGCTATTGCGCTGGAGATGTGGTGAAAAGGTGTGTATGTGTGGGGGGGGGAGGCGGCTTGGGTCAGTGCAAAGACGGATGTGCATGTGGCAAGTGAAGGGGGGAGGGGCTCCAGCAACACTGTGGATGGCAGGGAGACAGGGGAAGAGACAGAGAGAGACAGAGAGACAGAGAGAGACAGAGAGAGAGAGAGAGAGACAGAGAGACAGAGAGAGAGACAGACAGACAGACACACACATGCACACATTGACACACACATACACACAATCACACACACACACACACATCTCACACAAACGCAGACACACACAGACACACACATGCAACTGACCGAGGGTGTTTGGTGCGCTGTGCCAAGACGGAGACCACAATCACCACACACCACACCACCACCAACACAATGGAGCCAGTCCCAAGATCCAGCATGCTATCCGCCACCACAAACACACGTCTGAGCCGCCGCGATAACCGAGGCCGCGATAACCGACAGGCGTCGACACCACGAAATGCGGTCAGTCCATTTTGGCTCCTTCCACCACCCAAAACAACAAGACGGAAGATGCGTCGCCGCACCGCCCCTGTGCTGCCAGATGATGCAGCAGCAGCAGTGGCGACGATGCTGCTTGCAGTGACGACCATCATCATGAGCAGCGGGCCGGCTCGTTTCGTTGCTGTGGTACAGGGTGCGCAGTGCCAGGCGACGTACAACGGGTTTATGGGCACCCAATGCGACACGACCGCGACGACGTGCGCGTTGCGGTGCTCCCAGGACGGGCCAACCACATCTGTGCTCTGCGATGACATCCCCGAGGACGTGGACTGCGCAGGTGCCATCTGCTCCACCTGCTCCTGCATCAACTCGAATGCGGAGATCTACTGCGACGCCAACCAGCTGGCATTTCCTTCCGGAATCCCCGTTAACACGCAGTTCCTTCGGTGGCAGGTTGAGCGCGCAGACAACATCAACATCGCCACACTGGACAGCACCTTCATCCGCTCCAGCAACAGCCTCGCCAGCGTGCGCCTCGTCGGCGTGCACTTCAACACCGTGCATCCCAGCTTCTTCCAGTCCCTGTCGGGGATCAACACGGTGGAGATTGCCAGCGCCGATCTCACCACCTTTCCGTGGCAGGTCCTTGAGGACCTCACTGCCCTGCTGCGGCTGGAGCTGACCAGCAATCGCCTGCAGAGCTTCGACGCCAGCGTCACCCTGAAAGCGCCCACGCTGCGCGTTCTGCAGCTCTCCGCCAACCGCATCAGCCAGTTCACGCCGCTCCCAGAGGGCGCCGTCCACCCCAACATGTACCAGCTTGTGATGCGCAGCAACCCCTTGCCGACAGCGGCCAACCTCACGCGCGGCATGCCGAACCTGAGCGTCCTCTCGGTCGGCGAGACGCGGTTCACCTACTTGCCCCGGTCCATCGTCGACCCGGGCATCGACCCGCTCCTCACCTTTGAGGTCGCAGTCTCCGCTGTCGTGCACATTCCATTTGCCATGGTCACGGACATTGTTGTGCACCCAGCGACGGGGCTGCTGCCCGTCGTCATCGCCAGCAGCCCGTCCACGTGCGAGTCTGTGCAGCGGCAGGGGCGAAACGGACACACGTACCTCGACTTTGTCTGCACGTGCGAGATGCACTACGACACGTTTGTTGTGACGCTCACAGACATGACACACTGCCCGCTCCCACTGCGGCTGGCATGCCCGCTGGGGAATGTGCCGCTGAAGCAGCTGCGCCTGGACCAGTTCTGCGACGGCACCCCCGACTGCGAGAATGGCATTGATGAAATCTGCCAGCAGGACTCGCGCCTGCGTGCCCAGGACCCACCAGGCTGCCTCGACACACTGCTTGGCCTGCCCACCCCTGGCAGCGGGCGCCTGGTTCTGTCGATGACCAACGGCCTGGCCACGGGGAACATCACGCAAGATGGCAACACGTATGCCCGGCTGCGGAGCGTGTTCCACGGCGTGCGGGAGCCAAACGTGGACGTGAGCCTCCGCTTTGCTGGCTACTTGGTGGATATCGACGGCATATACATTCCCCTCCCTGCAAGGTACGTTCAAAAGAGGGAGATGGCGCGCCTTCTGTGTGTGTGTGTGTATGTTTGTGTGAATGTGTGCGTGTATGTGTGTGCATGTGTGCGTGTGCATGTGCCTGTTTGTATGTGTGCGTGTGTGCGTGTGCGTGTGTATGTGTGAGTGTGTGTGTGTATTTGTCTGTTTGACCAGCGTGTAGTTTTGATGTGCATGTGCGTCATGACCTGCTCTTTCCCCTTACTCTCCCATCTGATATCCACGTCACCCACGAATGCACACGAAACACTCACACACATGGATACACACACATACACGCATACACAGAGGCATCCAGTCGTTCATGGGCGAAACGCACATGCGCGTGTACACGAGCGGGCGCACCACTGGCCCGCACTGTGACGTGCGGTGGAGAGACGGATCAGGGGTGCCAGACCCACTCCCAGACAGCGCTTTCGACTACCCAGAGTCTGTCGACGACAACCCGGCCCTGCTCGAGGTCCTGCCGTCATATGAACAGATCTTGGGCATCATCCCTTCATCTTCATCGACCACGCCCCTCGGCCCCGGTGCACAGTCATCCTCGTCGCAGTCAACGAGCACGTCGGACCCGGGGTCCGGTTCGCCAAAGGACAGCAAGTCCTCCTCCAACGCTGTTGGCGCAGCTGTGGGCGGTGTCATTGGCGCTGTCGTCTGCATTGGTCTCCTCTTCCTCGTGCTTCGCTCCCGCAACTTGCAGACGTGCCGCCACGACGATGGCGAGGGGCTGGCAGGAGGTGGGGCGCGCAAACGCTCAAGCCGCTTCTCTGCCGACGCTGGAGTCACGGGCGACGTGACAGATGTGCTCCTGCAGCGCTCAAAGCGCGTGTTTGCTGTGGAGTACCCAAAACTTGTGGCAGACACGGATGCGTTTGAGTCCGCGTTTCGCTCCAAGTTTGTGGAGCAGAGCGGCGTGCGCTTGGGGCAAGCCCTCGGGCGCGGGCGGTTTGGGCCCATTCACGAGGCGTCCATGTGCAACACCATGATGACAAACCCAATGCACGCCGCGCAGCATCGCAGCGACGACATGGCCCTGGCAGAGACAGTCACGGCGCAGCTGCTCACGCACGAGGACCCAGACGTGCAGTTGGAGTTTCTGGTGCAGGCGCGCGTGCTGCTTGCCCTCTCCCGCCACCCAAGCGTCCTCGCCCTTCGCGGCGTCGTTGTCGATGCATCGCCCCTCATGTGCATGACAGAGGTGATGGCGCAGGGCACGCTGGCGCAATTCTTCCGACAACTCAACAGCAGCGGCAGCACCAGCAGTGGCAGAAGCAGCGGCCACCACCACGGCGCTGTTGCACAAGCAGATTTGTTGCAGTGCCTGCACAAGGTGGCGGCGGGCCTCACGTTCATCGAGTCCAAGTACATTGTGCATCGCAACCTGTCGCTGGAGGCCATCCATATTAGGCAGTCGCTTGCAGACGTGCGCATCAGCGGCTTTGCCCTTGCTCGAAACGTCTACCGCACAGATGTGTACCTCAGCCACCACCACCAACAGCAGCAGCAGCAGCAGCAGCAGCAGCAGCAACAACAACAGGAACACGAGCAAAATTGGGCGAAGCGACTCTCTGCGTCCAGATTGCACGCAATGCCATTTCCCGCGTGGGGAAACAACAGCAGCAACAGCAGCAACAGCCACAGCAATGCTGTGAGCAGCAGCAGCAGCGTTCAGGGCGGTGGGGACGATTCGCGGTGGCCGCTGCTGCGGTACAGTGCTCCGGAGGTGCTTGAGGACGGCGAGTACACCACCAAGACGGACGTGTACGCGTTTGGTGCCATCATGTATGAGGTGCTGCATCTTGGCCAGCCCTTTCCAGTGCAAGGAAGAACGCCATTAGAGGCGGCGGCAAGCGTGCGTGCAGGCACGCCCAACCTGCAACCATCCACTCACATGCCGCCAGTCTTGTTGTCCGTGGTGCGCCTGTGCACACATGTGCAGCCGCGCTTCCGGCCCACATTCGAGGCCCTGCACACCAAGTTGACATACACGCTTGACAGCAGTGGTGCAGCACCGCCTGGCCCGTACACAGACCACCGCGACGCGGACACGCTGGACGTGTTCGCGACCGAGCAAGGGGCTGTTGGCGCCACTGCCATGCCCGGTACTGGCCCGCCACGGCAGGCGTCACTGGCTGCGCTGCGGCGGGTTGACGGCGCACATTTGCACGTGCAATCACTGCTGCGGATGCACACCCACGTGGCTGCATTTGTCACCAACCGTCAGACACGTAAACAAGGCCTGGTGCTCGCGCGACCACACACGGCCAGCGACAATCACTTCAAGGGCAACAACGACCACGGTGATGGCGCAAAGGCTCTCGATGCCGACTACCGGCTGTTCACTCGCCTGTTGCGCGGTGACGCGCGTTTCCTTCCAATCACCGGGATGGCACTTGGCGTGCCGCTGCCGCCACATCGCGAAGGGGGCGGTGCCATGAGCGTGAACGGCCTGCTCGTGTCGTTGAGTAGCTGCCAGCCACTTGCGGAGCGGTTGAAGAGTCTGCAGACAGGCACTGCGACGCAACACACCCCGGCGCCAACCAGCAACAGCAAAAATGTGGAGGTGGGTGCGTCCTTTGTGAAGCAGGTACTCTTGGACCTGTGCTTGAGCCTGGAATTCCTGTGCGTCAACAAGTGCGACGTCAGCCACGTGTGCCTTCAGCTGCTGTTCGTGCAGGAGGAGCGGCTGGCCATGGCGCTGGTGCCTGTGCCTGCAGGCAACGGCGGTGGCGAGAGCAGCGAGCACCTTGCCCTGGGAGTTTTGCAACGCACGACGGCACAAGTGTGGCAGCGGCTGCCACGTGGGGTTCAGGGCGTGCTGCACGGGGCCCTTCAGCCGTTGCTGTCCCAGCCGACAGGAATCAGCCAGCAGTCGTCATCACCGCCACCACGAGGGGTTCGCTCGCTCGCAGAGGCGGTGATTCTGCTGCAACGGGTGAGCAGCAGCGACAACGGCGAAGTGGACTGGTCGCAGCTTGAGTTTGTCAAGGAGCTTGGATCCGGCCAATTTGGGAATGTGCAGCTGATGACACTGCACCGCAAGAGGCCGCGCGGTGGTGCTGGTGAAGTCGCGACGACAACGTCCACAGCAGCAGCAGCAGCAGCAGGCTGTATGCTGGTGGCGGTGAAGACGCTGCTCGATGACTCGTGCGCTACCGAGTTTTTGGAAGAGATGAGGCTCATGCGTGACATTCACCATCCAAACTTGGTGAGCATGCTGTACAGCATCACGAAGGACAACCCGCTCGGAATTGTGTTGGAGTACTTGCCCCACGGAAGCCTGGAGGACTGGCTCGCACTGCCCACCACAAACCCGAGCGTCGAGGACACGGTGCTCATCCTGTACCAGGTGGCGTGCGGGGCTGCTGAGCTGGGGCGCCTGGGCATTGTGCATCGCGACATTGCTGCGCGCAACGTGCTCCTGGGCCGGAACCTGCAGTGCAAATTGTCGGACTATGGACTGAGCCGGGTCATGCAGGTTGGAAGCGATGATGACGCCGTGTACTACACCGTCGAAACCAACCGCTCTCTGCCCCTCAGGTTTGTGCCCTGTTGAAGAAGAAGATGGATGGGTGGGTGGGTGGGTGGGTGAGTGGAACCAAGGTGTGAATATTGTATGGAACATGCATTGTGTGCGGTCCTACTCGGGACTCACTCGCTCTCACACACGCATGCCCACTTACGTGTTCACGCGTAACACATGCACACACGCACGATCACGTGTGCACACACACACCTACACACACACATACCTGCACACGCACACGCACACACACGCACACACACGCACACGCACGATCATGCGCGCACACACACACACACCTACACATACCTGCACACGCACACGCACACACACGCACACACACGCACACGCACGCACAAACACACACACGCACACACACACGCTCAATGATGCCTGCGGTTGTGTGTTTCGACCGCTGCAGATGGATTGCGCCGGAGGTGCTGCTGGCGAAGAAGTTCACGACAGCGTCGGACGTGTATGCATTTGGCATGCTGCTGTTTGAGGTGCTGACCAAAGGCGAGCTGCCTTTTGCGGAGATGGATGACAAGGCTCTCGTGCTGCACCTGGCTGGCTTTGCCCGTCGCGTACAAACAGAGTCCCCTCCACCACGTGCACCATCAGCCAAACCCGACTCCGCCTACCCACCCGTGCTGGCTGCACCTCCACACACCAACCATGCCCTCGCTGCGCTCTTCTACACCACCACGTGCGCGTGGCCAGCCGCCCGCCCAACGTTCCTGGACATCATCGCCATGCTCGCGCCGCACAATGTCGACCTGGTGCTGCAAGGGATTCTTCCCTCCACAGCAGCGCCAACACCAGCAGCGCCGCTCGAACGGCCGGCATCTGCCACTGCTGCTCCTACACCTGTTGCTGCTGGTGCTGCCATGACGCTTGCCAACACGTACCGTACCCTCACTCCCAATCCACACCAGCCGTCACAGCAGCGCCTGATGTTTGCACAACACCAGAGCCAGAACCAGCAGCAGACACATCCTGTTGGTGATGGTGATGATGATGACGAATCACATTTGTAGGATTTGTGTTTTGAGTTTGTGATTGTGTGAGTGAAGAGTGTGTGTGTGTGTGTTTCAGTGAGTAGATAGAGTGTGTGTGTGTGTGTGTGTGTGCGTGTGTCAGTGAGTGTATGTGTAGATTTGCATCGAAACGTGTTTGGGAGGTGCTATTCTGGATTGACTGTAGATTGTTTCGCATTTGCACCATAGCTTTTTATTGCTTTGTGTAGAGCATGCCTGTAACAGCCACATACAAGCGCCACGTGGTATTTGAATGGGCAGTGTGCCAGAGTAACAAACCACAACCGCACGAACGTAACACATTCAACCAATCAAAGCCACAAACGAACGTCGCACATTTCCTTCCATGCTCTCTGTTCCGTAGTCAATCTCGCGCCAGCACAATCACGCGGTCCTCAGCACTCCACATGCGCATCGCATCCTGCAAGAAAGGAAGGGAGGGTGTGTGTGTGTGTGTGTGTGTGTGTGTGTGTGTGTGTGTGTGTGTGTGTGTGTGTGTGTGTGTGTGTGTGTGTGTGTGTGTGTGCTCCTTCTGTCTGTATAGTTCCATGTGGTGTTTCCTGCGTCATGTTTCTCTGTCCTCGTGACCAAACCTTCTTTGGCGGGTTGATGACAGTGTCCTTTGAGCCAACCGGAACGAAGCCAATGAGAATCTATCACATTGGCAGACAGAACAAGTGAGTTCACGCACGAGGGTAGGTAGTTACAGACCACGCACGCACGCCCATCATCAACTCGCAAACACACACACACACGTACACACACGTACACACAAGCACATACAAGCACACACACCTCCTGGGTGAGGCGTGTTCGGGCCTGCAGATCCCAAAACGAAAGCTCCTCGTGCGCGTGCTGGAGATACCGGCCGGCACTGCGCACATACAGCTCGCAGCCGACACTGGTCAGCAGCTCAGAAAGGACAGCGCTGAGGAACCGGTTCTCGGACACTTGCGCAATGTAGCTGGAGATGATGTCGTTGCTCATGACGTAATCAGATCCAGACATCGCCCGCACGAGCTGCTGCGTTTGGGGATCGAGAATCTGCCCACAGTTGGGGTGTGTACGTGTGTGTGTGTGAGCATGTGTGTGTGAGCATGCGTGTGTGCATGTGTGTGAGCATGTGTGTGAGCATGTGTGTGTGAGCATGCGTGTGCATGTGTGTGCATGTGAGTGAGTGTGTAAGTGTGTGAAAGGGTGTGCATGTGCATATATGTGTGTATGTGTGTATGTGTGTGAGCGAGCATATGTGTGTGTGTCAGCAATGCGTATGTACAAGCACAAAGGAAAAAGCTCAATGTCCATGTACATGTTGTTGCTTGCAAGCATCTCAAACGCCCCTTTTCCCACCTCGCCGACGATGGCAGGCTGCTTCCTGGCGACAACACCGTGATACCCGGCCGTTCGCTCGCGCTGAATGCTCTTCACCATCAGCAGCGTCGCCAGCGATCGCGAATCTGCCTCCTGTTTGCTCTCAGACTCGTTGGACAGAATCAGAATGTTGTCAAACTCCTCCAACCTGCGCGTGCGTGTGCATGTGTACATCGTGAGTGCGGATTCCAGTGCCCTTCACACACACACACACACACACACACACACACACACACACACACACACACACACACACACAATGCAGTTAGCAATCACACAAAGACATACACACAGACCAGCACAAGGTGCCTCACTTGAGTCCCTGCAAGTGCTTCCTGCTGAGCGTGTTGCCTTCCTTATGTTGGATGGTGGTGATGTTTTGCAGGCGCTCCCGCGTCAGTCCGCCCTCTCGCAGTGCAAACATCTGCTCCTCACGCGGCTTTTCGCTCATCATGTACAGCACCGTGCCCTGCAGCAACATCGGGTCGGGAAAGCCGCGTTTGCATGTGTGGTGGCGTGTGGCGTACATGCGTGACGTTGATGCTGTTTGCACGTGTACTAGCGCATGACGCGACGTTCGTGTGCGCGCACATGTGCGTGCGTGCGTGCGCGTGCGACGTGAATCGTTCGTCGGTATCGTGAATAACACGTGTATGTGTAAACATTTCTGCGTGCATGTGTCTGTATGTGTATGTGTATGTGTATGTGTGTGTGTGTGCACTCACGGGTCCGACTTGCTCGTCGAGCTGCATGACAAGATGCTCCATATCGCGCCGCCAGTTGAGGAAGAGGATGCGGCTGCGGTGCACTGTCTCTCGCGCGGAAGGAACGAAGCTGCGGTGGTCAATGTGCACTTGCCGCTCAGCCTTTTGTGTGGCGTTGCGTTGTATTGCATGTGTGTTGTGCGATGGAGTGCACAGTCAGAGACGCATTTGTCGTTGTGAGGAGCAGCAGGCAGGGGCAGAGAGGAAGCAGGGCATACGCACGTACAGGCACACGCCCAAAACGTGCAGACTGAGCCGGGAGGTACAACTACTGACAAATGGTCATGCACACACTCACGCACACACGCACAACACGAAAACGGGTGCGGCACACCTTTGGTGCATATGTGTCGTCATCTTCGGCAACGACGATAATCTCTTCTCCCGATTGAATGACGCGGCTGTCTGGTGGATTCAACAAAATCGCACTGGTTCAAATTGTTTCAAATTGGCACGTGTAGTTGGGGGAAGGGGAAGATGTGTTCCAGCGGGTGTGAGTGACACGCGCGCTTGTGTACATGTGTGTGTGCACATGTGTGTGTGTGTGTGTGTGTGTGCACATGTGTGCATTTGTGTACATTTGTGTGTGTGTATGTGTGTGCGAGCAGAGTCGCAGAACATGAATGCCTTGCAAGTGTGCACGTGACTTTGAATGCATGAGCGGCAGCAGAGCGCGCGTCGCATGTGCTGCTCACCCGCCGCAGCGAATACCGACAGGAACGGCTGCGTCAAACATGAAGACGATTTCACCAAAGCGCCGCCCGACCAGCTCTGTGGAGTCAACATGAACATGGCAGTGGGCAAACGTTTGGAGCCAGAGCGTGCAGGCATGAGGGACGCAGCGCGATTGATGTGCATGTGCATTCCAACACACTTGCTGAAATGACGCTGCCTGCAGCATGACACGCTGGTTTGTCGCACCTTCCCATTCACGCATGTAGAACTCTGGACCGTCAAAACTCAGCAGCTCAGCCATGATTGCGCCTGTCATGATGATGACGATGATGATGATGATGATGATGATGATGATGATGATGATGATGATGATGATGGGGGGGGGATACAAACGGAGCAGAATGAACTTTTGGCGCCGAGCAATTGCTGTGACATGCGCATGTCAATGAGTGTGCTCTACAGCAGCAAGGACAGCTTTGTGCTCGAAGCATGTTTGTCAAGTTTGTGTTCGCAGCCTACCCATGAGTGGCTGGCGGGTTGTTGTCACCATCAGACGCCCAATGATGTCGTGTGATTGCACCAGAACACACCGAAGCTGCTCTCGAACGAGCAAGAATGTGAAGGGAAGGCGAGAAAGTTGACATGTAAGAGGGCCCGCAGTTCAAACCATGCACAGATTTCCAAATAAGACACAAACACACGCGTACAAACACACAACACACTCATCTACACTCACCCTCACTCACTCACTCACTCACTCACTCACTCACACACACACGCACCTCGTCTGCTTCTCGAATGACATCGGCATTGTCCACATCCAACACCTCCACCACCACGTGTGGGGATGCCTGAACACACGCGTATGCACACATACAGAAGTACATGGCAGTTGCCAGCATGAGCTACGCGCTGTCAGCAAGCACGCAATAACATGCGCACAGCGTTTCAATCCAAAGTATGCGCGCATACGCACACGTACACACACGTAACACACTCACACTCACACACATAAACATAAACACACACATACACACATACACACGCATGAACACACATGTACGCCCACGTGCAACGCACCAGGTCGTATTGTTCCAGAGCCTGTTTGAGCTGGAGCACAATGCGCAATTGCTGCGCATCGCTTGCATCTGGGGAAAGTTCTTTGCTTGCAAGACAGATGATCGACCGCGCACTCGTGCACGACACCTGGCGATGTCAAGTGACGGCACCACACGTCCGAGATTTGTTGTAATTGTGTGCGCGTGTGTGTGTGTGTGTGTGTGTGTGTGTGTGTGTGTGTGTGTGTGTGTGTGTGTGTGTGTGTGTGTGTGTGTGTGTGTGTGTGGCGAGCGTGACGAAAACATGCAAATTTGCACTGCGCATGCACGTGTTGTGAATACGCTTGCGCTGCCAACGTCAACGGCTTCAAGAAGCAGAAAGCACGATGGCCCGCACCTTCATGAGTGCGGTGTAGCTGAGAGGGGAGCCCGTCCGGCAGACAACCTTGCTTCCTTTCATGTCCACGTCGCTGTCGTCAATCAGCTCCTCCTGCATGCATGCACACATGCACAGAGGGGGGGGGGTTGCGTGAAAACTGGGTTGTGCGTGCGTGTGTGTGTGTGTGTGTGTGTGTGTGTGTGTGTGTGTGTGTGTGTGTGTGTGTGTGTGTGTGTGTGTGTGTGTGTGTGTGTGTGTGTGTGTGTGTGCGTGTGTGCGTGTGTTGCGAGCAACGACGCGAGGAGCTCAAAACTCAAAGGTTCCTGGGCACATGTAAACATACATGTAAACACACACAAATGCACGCATATACCATTTCTTCCTTGTCACGCGTTGAGAGGACGACAATAGTGCCCCCGCCCATGCTTTCGTTTGCAAGACACAACTCCTGCGCAGGGGAACAACGGTACACGCACATGCACGAATGCACACACACGCACACGCATAAAACAAAGACACGTGAGCGTTGCTACGTGAATGGCAAGCAGCACACCACATCCACGCGTACCTACGCTCACACACACCCACGCTCACACTTGCACACTTGCACACTTGCACTGGTGTAATGTCGCGCGAAGCAATCATCGCCACCACCGCACCACTGCATTCACGAACCTGAATGACTGGAAGGGTCTTGTCTGACCAGCCCAGGATGAGGCTGTGTCCCGTCTCAATTACACTGCTGCGCCCTACACGAATCATTGCGCAGCACAGCATGTGTCGATGCGGACAAGCAAACGAAGTGGATTGTCGCCTCTCACCCACACGCACACACACACACACACACGCACGCACACGCGCACACACACACACGCACACACGCACGCACGCGCACACGCAATCGCATGGCAACTGGATTGCCAAGAGAAGTGTTTACTGCTGTACCTTTCTTGAGGTCGTCCACGCGTTCGGATATTTCGTCCGAAATGATGCCTGTATTGGAATGGGAGCAGTACGACATGTGCAAGCAAAGTAGTGCTCGCATCAGTGGTGTGCCAGAGCGCAAACGCGGACAGTTTTGCACACACACACACACACACACACACACACACACACACACACACACACACACACACACACACACACACACACACACACACACACACACACGGATGTTCACATACTCAAAAACCATGTCCGTACACGTCCGTACACGTGTGCACACAGACCTCACACATACACATGGGCACGCTGATGTTGACGACGTACCGACGAGCAGGGCAAAGACGAGCATGCCGCCGACAGTGAGAGCGAACGCGATGAGGCGCGGCAGGCCTGGATCGACGTCAGCGTGCGTTCCTGGGTCGGATATCCACGTCCACGCACTCCACCACGCTGTGAAGATGGACTGGGGCTCGGCAACAGCAAGCAGCGGCCCGCCAACAACGATGAGGAGCAGCGTCGCCAGCATCAGCGCCATGGGCTTTGCAGATGAATTGGTGGACAGCCTGTTTTACGTTCAAACATGGGCATACAAATGCGGCGTACACCGGCCAGCATGTAAGCAGTAACCTTTGGCCATCGGTTGGTTCAAGTACATGCCCGGATACCAAGCTCATGCACACGCACGCGCACACGCACACACACACACGCACACACACACACGCACACACACACACACGCACACACACACACACGCACACACACACACACGCACACACACACACACACACACACACACACACACACACGCATACGCATCATTACACACGCGCACCACAAGTCGAGCTCGTAGCCGATCCGGTCCAAGAGGCTGACATCCGATCTGGCTTTGTGCTGCTCCAGTTGCCGCAGCAGGTCAGAGGCAAGGTACGCGACACCGCCCAACGCCACCAGCAGCTGCACCCATGCTGCGACAGAGGCAAAACCACAAGCAGGACGTTGGTAAACCATGGGCTGGACAGTGGTCACAATGCATTCATAAATACAGACACAACACACACGACATGGACGAACAACATATGCAGACACACGACACAACACACAGACACACACAGACACACACACACGACACAACACACAGACACACACGACACAACACGCACAACACAATCCACACACACAACACAACACACAACACAACACAACACACACGACACAACACAAACACAACACAAACACACACAACACATACAGAAACAAACAACGCCATGGAAGCAAACCTGAGATGACGTCTGGGACAAAGGCGTCAAAGACAAGGTCGAGGGCAGAGCACAAGAGTAGAAGTACCACCAAACTGAGCATCAACCGCCTCGCCGTGCCGCCCTCGGCGACTTCCGCACCCCAAGCCTTCAGCACGTTGACCGACATCATGCACAAAGGAAGCAACAAACAAAGCCGGCGAGCGAGCGAGCGAGCAAGAGGCACGCTGGCAAGCAAAGAAGCAGCTCGGGACGTTAGATGGCAGTTTGCTCGCTCGCTTACTGGCAGCAGAGCAGGAGCAGATGGATGAATGGAGCCAGAGCGCAGGAGGAGGGTATCGATGTTTGGTTTGTCAGCAACGTTCACTGGAGCGTCGTGTTTCCGCAAAAATCCTCCACAACGCGCACACCACACACCACAACAGCAACACAAGCAAGCAAAACCGTGATCGCACGACGAACAACATAGCGCACAACAAGAAGGCGATCGCAAAACAGCACCGCCACGCAAACGAGCAAGCAACATTGTCGACACCAGCCATGGCGTCGTGGCCAGCTGGCCTCGGCGTGGATGAATGGGCGATTGTGGCACGGCACCTGCCCGATCTCCCCGTGGCTGCAGGTGGCTGCGAGGGCGATGAGAGCCTCGACGGCGACAATGATGATGATCGTCATTTTCCCGCCAAGACCCGCGACATCAACGCCCTCGTGTCGATGCGAGCATTCTTCAACCTCATGCTGACATGCCGCAACCTGTACCACAATCTGCCAAACGCCATGCCGCGGTGGTGCTTCAGCGGCCACTTCGGGCCAGGCGTGGTGCAAGGGTTCATTGAGCCAGATGTGGAGGCGAGCAGGCGCTCCGGCGACCGCGCCTTTGACGTGGATGTCTGGCTGGAGGAGCGCTTCCTCGTGTACTCGTGGCTGGGAGCAACCTGGGCATGCAACTGCGCCTTCCTCCAACGGCAGCGCCCCTTCTCCGAAGCGTTTTGCACCGCGTTTGCGACCTGCAGCCGCGTCGTGTTCTCGTCCCAGTCTGCCATTGATCTCTGGAACTCAAAGTTCAACCTGTCGACACACGCACACTCAGCCACAACCACTGCGCAGCAAACTGCCGCCGAGCCAGACGCGCGAGGCAAGGCGCCAGCACCAGCGCTGGCAGCAGAGCCAACGCGCGCAGATAAGCCTGCTTCCGCGGTTGTTGCGGCCGGTGATGCCAACCCACCCGCGCACGCCAGCTCCAATCTGATGGGTGCTGATGCCACAACCACAACATTGTCTACAACGACAACAACCACCACAGCGACGACAACAACAATAACAGCCTCGACTACAACAGCAACAACAACTTCGACAACGACCACTACGATGTCAACAACCACAACAACGACATCGACGATGGCGGGTGCGCCTGTCCTCCGCCCGGCCTTTGCGACACTGGTGGCTTGGCTGGAGACGCAATCACAAGTGGACGCGTGCATGCGTGCCTTGAAGGTGCTTGGCTGTGCCAACACACAGCTGCACGCCGTCGTGCTCGTGGAAACGCTGCACATTACGTGCAAACTGCAGTATCTTCACATGCAATCCAGGCCAATCAGAACCCTCGCCTGCAACGGCAATGTGTCACGAATCAGTTGGCACGTCCACACGCACCAGCAGGCCATCGCGGGCGACTTTCGCGGTGTCGACCAGGTCATGCTGCGTGCCATGTGTATCGGTCGAGCCACGAGGCTGCGTAGCATCGATGGACTAGACGGCGTCCCCCGAGTGAAGCTCGTATGCGTGGCGCTCGCAAGCGTGGCACCGCTGGCCAGGGCAGAGCGCGTGCACCTGAACGACGTCAGCGTGGCGGACATCACCCCACTGTGCAATGTGCCCCATCTCACCCTCTACATGTGCAAGCGGCCATCCCACGCCGACCTTCGCCTCGCAGCCACGCACATCAGCCTGACTGGTGTCAGCTCCCTCACGGGCACATTGCATGTGCCAAACGCAACGCACATCCACCTTCAAGGCTGCAGTGGCCTCGAGGGCCTTGCATGTGGGCCGCGGCTGGAGTCACTGCACATGCAGCGCTGCCCGAAGATCCGCTCCCTCCCTCCTTTCGAGCGTGTCCAGCAGCTGGCGACCGATGTGCCGCTCACTGCTGACGTGGCAGCGGCGCTCGTGGGGCGGGTGGAACGGCTCTCTGTGCAACTCACCTCACAGTCCTCGGCACAAGCAGCCCTGCGCTGCCTGCAAGCAATCCCTGCCCGCGCAAGCACGAACGATGTCGGCGATGCGGGCGAAGTTGGTGGTGAGGATGGTGGTGGGAATGGGGACTTTGTTGGTGATGATGATGATGATGATGATGATGATGATGATGATGATGATGATGATGATGATGATGATGATGACGACGCTGGAAATGATGGTGGTGTTGGTGATGATGGTGATGATGGTGTTATGGAGATTGCGATCACTTTTAATGACAGTGATGATGCGAATGATGGTGATGATGTCGTTGTTGTTGTTACACACAGTGGCCGTGGTGGTGGTGGTGGTGCTCGCAGCAGTGGCCACAGTGTTGCTCGCAGCAGCGGCCACAGTGTTGCTCGCGGCAGCGGCCACAGTGTTGCTCGCGGCAGCGGCCACAGTGGTGCTTGCAGCAGCGGCCACAGTGTTGCTCGCAGCAGCGGCCACAGTGTTGCTCGCGGCAGCGGCCACAGTGTTGCTCGCGGCAGCGGCCACAGTGGTGCTTGCAGCAGCGGCGGTGCTCGTGAGGAGGGCACGTGGGTGGATGTGCAAGGGTGCCCGATCCAGGACATTCACCGCGTGCTGCCTCCCTGTGTGAATGCGATTGAGGTGAATGCGCATCCACGCCGGGGCATGGGCGGCCGCCTACCCCCGCTGCGATCATCGCTGTTTCAACACGTGCGGGAGCTTCGCCTGCGCAGCCGAGACGGCGCGCTGGCAATTGATGCGAGTGAGCTGTCTGCACTACCGCACTTGCGACAGCTGTCCCTCGTCGGCTGTGAGCTCACTGGCGGGGTGCTGGCCGGCTTTGAGCGCGTGGATATGAACAAGTGCTTTGGCAGCGTCTCTGTGCGACACGTGAACGTGCTTCGATGCTGTGTGCTGACTGCCACGATGATGTTTGTGGAGGTTGCGCACGTCAAGGTGTTGCTGCTCGGTGCGTGCCACGACATGGTACTGCGGGCCACGCGTGATGTCGACACGTGCCGCGTGACGCACTGCACCGTCAAGGACTGGTCTGGCTATGCTGGCATTCGCCGCTTGGGTGTGTACTCAACGCAACTGCGCAGCTTCAACATGCCGCAGCTGCCCATGCTGCTGACGGTCAAGCGCTGCCAAGACGACTCCATCCGCGCGCACTTCAATTTCTCGCTGGTCGGCCGGACGAGGAAGGAGGTGGTCACCGACCTCCTTGCGCAGCGGGCGCAGCGGCGGCTGCGCAGCCGTGGCGAAGGCGGACAGTATGACGACGACGACGACGACGACGACGACGACTACGACAGCTACAATGACGATGACGATGATCGTGATGGTGAGGACGAGGACGAGGGCGGGGACGAGGACGATGTGTAAGGGCAGTAGGGCGATGGAGATGTGTTAGCGAGAATTAGTAGTTGTAGTGTCAAAGAAGGGCTGTGCCTGTGTGTTTTTTTTTTTTTTTTGAATTGCTCCGTAGCTGGCGCCGATGATCCTAATAATGGTCAGACCTCCACCCTGCCTATTGCACTCTCCTACCGCGTGATCAGATGACGACTTGTTTCACGTCGTTGCTCTGGTTTACATCCATATGCGCACGCACACACACACACACACACACACACACACACACACACACACACACACACACAAATACACACACGTGTTGTCGACCATCTCTGGGTTCATTGTGTTGAAGTCTGTGTGGCTTATAGTCCGTTGGGGTGAGCGCCCTTCGTTAAAGATGTACACCCCCATATCTCTTCGCCAAGGAGTGGAAGGAGAGGGGGGGGGGTGGTAGGAAGGAGTGAGAGGCGATGTTGACTTGCTTGCTGTGAGCGTGGGAGGACGTGGCTGGTGTCTGTGTGTTAATCTTGCATGGAACCATTTTTGGGCAGTCGTGCACTGCTGCAGAAAGGAGAGTCGCCAACGACCACGCAAACAACACCCCACCGCACACTCACTTGCCACAGAGCAGCAGCAGCACCCAACAGCGGCTGAGGCAGCATGGCCCGAACACCACGAAGGAAGGGTGGCCGTAGTGCTACTGGTGGCGCAGCAGCAGGGCGTGGTGGCGCTTCCTCCACTGGAACAGGCAGTGGCAGTGTTGATGAAGGCGTCCAGTGGAAGATTGGAGAGCAGGTGGTCGCACTGGACCAGACGCTCATGTGGTACCCGGGCAAGATCATTCGGGTCAAGCAGGCCAAGGCCGCTGACGGCACACCCGTCAAGAAGTACCGCATCCACTTTCGCGGCTGGGGAAAGTAAGTGACTCGCGCACCAGGCCAAACAGAGGCCGACTCACACACCAGGCCTAACAGATGCCGACTCGCAACACTCCGTGTGTCTGTGTGTGTGTGTCTGTCTGTCTGTCTCTCTGTCTCCCTGTCTCCCTGTCTCTCTGTCTCCCTGTCTCCCTGTCTCTCTGTCTCTCTGTGTGTCTGTCTGCGGACCTTCGGCGCCCCCTGACTCACAGCAACCATGCCTTTGTGTTATCTCGTTCTTGTTCAGGCGGCATGACATTTGGACCACCCCAGATGAAGGCCGTGTCAAGTCGCCGGCTGTCGTGAATCCTGAGGGAACGGTGAGCAAATGCACATGTGCCGATCAGCAAGCCAAGAAGCATATCGCAACCTGGCGTGCGCATGCTTCCATTGTTTGCGTGCAGGCATGTTGTTAAACCTTTCCTCTTGCCTACGTCACTGCTGTCTCGACACTCACGGCGTGGCATCGTGTCACCTCATGTATGGATGAATGCGCGCACTGCTGCAATCGGAACCAAACAGCAACAACAGCATGACGACTTCTGCTTCGTATGCGGGGCAGTCGATAGGTCCCTCATCAAATGCCAAACATGCCCAGCAGCTGTCCATGCCACCTGTGTTCCTGAAGCGACCACGGATCGCCCTTTCTTCTGCGGTTACACCAACGCTTGCTCAGACCCAGCTCAAGTGGTATGGCAAGCGTGTTCCCATTGCTAATTGCATCTACGTATGTGCGTGTGTGTTTGTATCAATGTGTATGTATGTGTGTGTGTGTGTGGCTCCACCCGCCGTATATGCACCAACCATCGTCATCATTGCCGCCTCCCCCATGGCCTCATCGTGCGTCAATGTGTTCTGCAGCACAAAACCATGGGCCCGCTCTTCATGCGGCAGAAGCACCCGCGCGTTGATCCATCAGCCAAGCCGTCAGTGTCTGTGTCTGTGTCTGTGTGTCTGTGTCTGTGTCTGTGTGTGTCTCGTCTTCTCTGGCATTCCTCGACCTGCCTGCCTACCTGCCTTCCTGTCTGCTTCCAGCTTCTTGCCCTTTCCCCCCTCCCCTTCCTGCATGCCAACCCGTGTGTGGCGCTCGCAGTGCTTGACACGACCTGGTACCCTTCCTCACATGTCATGGCGACCACAATGCATGCGCTTCAGACCATCGCCCTCCCCTCGCGTCTCGACTGCCGCCCGCATCATTTTCGAAGGCGCCGCCACCATCGCTGATCGCACACACGAGGAATCCAATGGCACCAGCAGTGACGGCACGCACGCGCGAAAGCGTGCAAAGTCAACACGTACGCGAAGATCGCGAACACAGGTGCAGCATTTGGAGGAGGAGAGAAACGCGCTGACGGCAGCAAAGCACAGGCTCGGCCAACAAGTGATGCAGCAGCTGCAGCAGTTTGCACAACAACAACAACAACAACAACAGCAGCAGCAGCAGCAGCAGCAGCAGTCGTCCCCTGTCGTGGTCACGGCGCCACCACGTGAAGCTGACGCTGGCAGTGGCAACGTCACACCCGCGTCTGCAGCACAACGCACACGCCGACGGCGGGAAGAAAGTTTCCATCGCGCCAACCCCGCACCACCAACACGAACATCGGCGCGGAACCGAAGAACTGCACCGTTACCACCACCATCTTCCTCTTCCTCGTCATCCTCGTCATCCTCCGCTGCGATGCCTGTGACGGTGGGGGCACTGCCGCAACGCGTGCGTGACGTCGTTGCTCCCTTGGCAGACGCGTCCTACGCAGACATTGTTAAGGCTGTCGTGCACGCCCGCGCCGGCAACAGCAACAGCAGCAGCCTCTCCGCAGTCGTCACTGACAGTCGCAATCGCAATGGAAATTCCAGCAGCAGCAGCAGCCGTCGTGGTCGTCGAAGCCGCGGTGCTATCGCTGCTGCTGGTGCGAAGGACCGCAATGTCAATGCTGGCAGTGCTCATAGCACGGCTCACGTGAATGGTAATACAGGAGCGGATGGTGGCAGTGGGCGCCAAACACCACGGACTCGCACTCGCCGCGCCTCTGCATCAACGATGGTGGGTCTGTGTGTGTGTGTGGGGGGGGGGGTGTGGGTGTGTGTGTGTGTGCGTGTGTGTGTGTGTGTATGCTTTGTGTGCTTTGTGTATGTCTTTGTGTCTGTGTGCCTGCACATCCGCATCCATGTCTGCCCATGAACGCATTTATATCCATGCTAACTCGAGTGCGTGCAACTTCCCCCCGCCCCCTGACCTCTCGCTGCACATACAGGGCACGCCACTGCCTCCCGTTACGCTCAACTCTGAGCTCAGTGAGCTGCTTGGCTGCGTGCTGTCCAATCGGTTTGTCGGTGAGGGCATGGTCACGGGTCATGTTACGGAGCTGCTGCCCACATCCGAGCAAGTCAAGGTACCGCACCCCCGCGTTGCGCGAGATACGGGAAGAGGGAGAATTCACGTTGTGTGGGTCTGTATTTGTGTGTGTGTGTGTGTGTGTGTGTGTGTGTGTGTGTGTGTGTGTGTGTGTGTGTGTTTGTGTGTGTCTGTGTGTGTGTGTGTGTGCGTTTGTGTGTGTCTGTGCGTTTGTGTGGGTCTGTATTTGTGTTTGTGTGTGTGTGTGTCTGTGTGTCTGTGTGTGTCTGTGTGTGTCTGTGTGTGTGTGTGTGTGTCGCGCATGCAAGTGTTGTTGGTGTAACTGCGTTGCTGGCTGCTGCTTGTGCTGTGGGTGTGTGACAGGTGAAATACGACAACGGCCGCGAGGAAATTGTGTCTCGCATCCCAGCGCTGCGTCTCATCATGCGCCATCGCGTACGTATTGTGTGAAGCTCACCATGTCACCATGTCATCATGTGAGCATGTGTGTGTGTGTGTGTGTGTCCTTGTACGTGTTGCACTGATGCCTGCACGCTTCATACCCCACACCTCATACCATGCCCCACACCACACCACTACCGCCCGCCAGTCGATGGAGCGGCGCCGTGCCCGTGCAGAACGCGGCTCACTCGGAGACGGTCACAGTGTCATCGATGATGACGATGACGATGAAGATGAAGACGACGAAGATGAAGGCGACGATGGTGGTGTACACGACAGTGCCCAGAGTGGCGAGTTGGCGACAGGAGAACGTGGACCACAGACAGCAGCGGTGATGCAATCCGCGCGCGGCACGACGGGCGCTGCAGCGACAAAAGCACCACAGGGAACGGGTCGAGCTGGTGGAAGGAAGAAGCGGGCGAAGGGAACGCCAAAGGCCAACAGCGGCATGGCATCGTGGGTGCAGAGCAGGTCCCCCAACACGCGCTCACTGCGAAGACGAGCCGCGGACAATGGCGCCACCATCACCGCCTCATGCTTCTCCAGCACCACTACCACCAGCACCAGCAACACAATGCAAGCTGGGGCTGCGAATGGTGCGCTTGCTGCCCACGTCAACCATGGCGAAGATGGCAGTGGCGCGAACGGCGTCAACTTGCACCATGATCATGATGGGGATGATGAGGATGACACCGGCGATTATGATGACGCTGGTGACGATGGCGACAACAGCCGTGTTGGTGATGGGGATGCGTATGCCCATGGTGATGGCGGTGGCTCCACAGCACAGGCGCTGGCAGCGCGCGTAGCGGCGGCTGAGCGCGAGAGAGACGAGTGGAAGAGCAAAGCGCTCAAGTTTGAGTCGGAGCTGTTTGTGCTGCGGCAGAAGCTGAAGGGCGTGGATGAACTGCACGGGCTCATGACCTCCATCCTTCACCCGAAAAAGCGGTCCATGATGTCGCTGAGCGTGGCTGCACTCTCACCGTCAACCCCGGCACCAACATCATCACCAGTACCAACAGCACCAACAACAACATCACCAACATCAACACGAGCGCCAACAGCACCACCGTCATCGTCATCATCTCGACGGAGGGCAACGCGAACCGCCAACGGCACCGCTTCTGCACCGGCCCATTGACGCGTGTGCACGTGTGTCTGTCTGTCTGTCTAGCTGGTTGGCTAATTGGCTGGCTGATTGGCTGTCTGTCTGTCCGTCTGTCCGTCTGTCCGTCTGTCTGTCCCCTCTTTGTCCTCCTGTCCCGCTCTTTGTCTACGTCGTTGTCTGCCTGTCCACCTGCTTGACTGCCTGCGTGTCTTTGTCTTTGTCTGTGCCTGGACCTGGACCTGTTGCATGCCACTTGTTTGCCTGCGTATCCATTTGTCTGCCCATATCAGCGCCCCCACCCCCACCCCCACATCGGCATGTGCCTTGCGGCAGAGGGTTCCTTGTGTAGCTGACGTGAATTGATTTGAAGGCTGTCATACCACGCGCTTTGTTAGTTCACATTGCTTCTGGTGTTTCCCCACAACTGATAGACGGCATAGCTGATCGGACACAACGGCACAACGAAGCAAACATACACACAGGAACTCGCACGGGAAGAGAGGAAAGGGGAGGGGGATAGCATGGCAGGCAGGAGAAACCTGGGATTGCTGGAGCTACAAGGCGCACAGGAAGGAAGGGGAGCAGTGGGGCAACGGATAACGTCGACATGTTGCAGGATCACAACATGGGAATGGGGGCTACAAGCAAGCAAACAATGCAAGACAAAACGAAGAGGTTATGTGTTTTTGCGTGTGTGTGTGTGTGTGTGTGTGTGTGTGTGTGTGTGTGTGTGTGTGTGTGTGTGTGTGTGTGCGTGTGTGTGTGTGTGTGTGCGTGTGTGTGTGTGTGTGTGTGTGTGTGTGTGTGTGTGTGTGTGTGTGTGTGTGTGTGTGTGTGTGTTTTGTGGGGTGTATGGTTGAGGGCATGAGAGAAGAAGAAAGCCAACCCACCAGCAAAGCCAGGCAAGCGGGAGGAGGCATTAGCGGTGGATGTTGCCGTCGTGCTGCTTGTTGTCGAGGAAGCCATAGCACATGTCCGGGTACAGCCGGCAGTACTGGAGCGTGGTGCCGCTCACAGGGATGCCACGGCGCGACAGCCGCTCGGCGTGGTCCGCAATACGCAGATCTGGTGATGGGAAGAAGTGGTTGTGTTTTGGTGGTGGTGGTGGTGGTGGTGGTGGTGATGGTGGCAATTGGTGGTGGGTGTGGTTGTGGTGAGGACAGAGATGCAATGAGGGGTCGAGAGCATGCTTCCAGTGCAAAGTGGAGAAAGCAGCGAGGGTAAACGAACAATGGCGCATGCACAGCTTGTTGCAGCACTCACTTGCTTCGCGCTGCGAGACAGTGTTGGCGTACTGCCACAGGCGAGCGCCGTATGCAGACGCGCGCGGGAAAATGCGCACGAGCGAGTTGTCGGGACCTGGTGGTGATCATGGAGGGGGAGGGGAGGAACGTGGCGTGGTGTGAGGTTGAGGTGAGAATGAAACATGTGCTGGTGTGTTTGCTGGGGTGTAACGCTGTCAGGCACGGAAGCATACGCACACATACACACACATAGACGAGTGTGTGCACCAACGCACACGCACACGCACACGCACACGCACACGCACACGCACACGCACACGCACACGCACACGCACACGCACACGCACACGCACACGCACACGCACACGCACACGCACACGCACACGCACACGCACACGCACACGCACACGCACACACACACGCACACGCACATGACCGTTAGCGAACCTGCGAGCTCGCCCCAACTGCATGATTCTCCACCGAGAATGCGTGATGCGTCAGACTTTGAGACGTTAGCGAGGATGTCGTGGCTGTACATGTGCCACCACGTCTTGTATGGGTCGCACCAGGACCTGCACGTGGCATGTGGCGGCCGGTACATACATAGTGAGCACACGACGGAAGACTAACGTGTCAAGTACAACAACTGGCAGAAGCAAGAGGGGGGATGTTTGAAGCCCAACACAAACCACACACACACACACATCAAGTTTGAGGTGCGTGTGTGATCCGCCTCCACTTTCCCTCTCTCTTTGTTCACGCCCTCTTCAGTGCAACTCACGCTTGTCCAAACATGTTTCCAAGGCCGCAGTCGAGGTAGAAGTCTGTGGATGTGCTCACAATGACGTCGCTGTCGGTGTCGTTAAGAACTTCGTGTAGCGTGGCTGGCGGTCCCCACACCTGCACAATAGCTGGGGCACGCAGAGAAGCAAGAACAGGGGCAGGGATGGAGTGTGAGTGTGGAGTGGAAGGTGCTTGAGTCGTGTGATCGTAGACAAAGGAAAGAGTGTGCACAACATGCAACGATGGGTACACATATGGGCACACGCGAAGCAGAACAGCTCACATCACGCACATGTGCAAGCAAGCAAGTGCACACGCACAACACAACACAATACAACACAACACAACACAACACAACACAACACAACACAACACAACACAACACAACACAACACAACACAACGCACACGGACGAACTTGATTTGTCGAGGGGCAGAGGAGGGTTCTGCTTGCTGGCCTCCTCCCAATAGAGACGCTTCTTGGCTGGGGCAACGTCGTGCAGCATGTCGCGCTGGTTCTTGAAGAACGTGAGCAGCAGCTCGTTGATGGTCACGTTGTGCTCCTTGAGGTACCGCTGGACGCTTGCGTCCTGCTTCCAGCAGTTGAAGTTGATTTCGTCATAGCCAAGATGGAAGTACTCGTCGGAGAAGAGGGCCGCAACCTCCGACGTCACGTTGCGGAGCACCTGCATCATGTGCTGTGAGGCAATGTTCAGCTGCCCGCATGGCGGCTCGTTGCAGCACTTGCCCCAGTTGCTCACGTTGGCGCACGACACGATATCGTGCAGCGTTGGCGCAAGTCCCATTGCACGCGTATGGCCGGGCGAGTCAATCTGCACAAGAATCGTGCGTGCGTGTATGTGAGTATGCATGTGCGTGTGCGTGTATGTGTGGATGCGTGTGAGTATGCATGTGTGTGAGTATACATGTGTTTGTGTGAGTGTGTGTGCGTGTATTTGTGTGTGTGTGTGTGTGCGTGTATTTGTGTGAATTTGTGTGTGTGTGTGTGTGTGTGAGTGTGTGCGTGTATTTGCACATGTGCGAGTGGTGCATTGTGTTCACTATTTGCCATCCTTGCCGTTCACGCTTCCACTGCCACGTGAGCTCCAAAGTCACAACTCAAACTTGGTCGCATTCTCGCTGCTGAGCAACATACCGTCATCACCTTCACCACTTCGCACCCCTGAACTACGCTACACATTCAAACACACACATACATGCAAACGCACACACGCGCGCGTGCATATCCCATGTCCACACCTCAGGGTAGACGCGCACGCCGCGGTCTGTGGCGTACTGGATCAGCTCCCGGAAGTCGTCCTGCGAATACACCATGTCTGCCGACTGTGCGCCATGGAAGGTAATCTCAGGGTTCTGGTGCAGCTGGAGCGGGAATGCCTGCGAGTCTGTGAGGTGCACGTGGAGGATGTTGAGCTTGCTGTACATCATGCCGTCGATGATGGTTTTGATGACGGGGACGGGCAAGAACGTCCGGGCGACGTCAATCAGCAAGCCGCGGTGGCCAAACGTGGGCGCGTCCTCAATCTGCAAGGGGACATCTGCCACGTGCCACGTGCGAGCATCGTTGGGCTGCAGCGCAGAATGCAGGACAAGCTGGGAGAATGTCTCCAAGCCGCGGAGGACGCCCTCGTACGACGTTGCTGTGAGCATGGCCGTGCCGCCCGCAGGGATCTCCAGCGCGTAATCCTCGTGGTTCTTCGCCACCCCTGGGATCGGGTGCTGCGCCGTGATCTCGATGCCAGTGAGGACGTCCCCACCGGCGAGCATGCGGGCTTTGTCCTCGCTTGTGCACGGGCCGGCGTTGCCGAAGATGACGTGCTTGTACAGGTCGATGGCGCGCTCCACGCCAGATGGCTGCGCCGATTTGTCCGTGAACACGAAGGTGCACGGGTTCAGCGTGGCCACAGAGCCCGACGCTGACTTGTTCCATGTTTTCACAGGTGGCCACGGCCGCGCCGCACGCGTGCCATCATCCTGATAGCCCCGCACACCCACAACGCTCAACACAACCACACACGCAGCCACCACCAGCACTGACACCATCGCCATCTTCATCGCCTCTTTCTTTTTCTTTGTTGGCTTGTTTTTGTTTGCGTTGGAGGAAGAAAGTCAAAATTGACTTTCCAAGCAACACCAACCAGAAAGGACAGCAAGCAGCAGCAACACTTTTTCTTTTCTGCGTTTGGAGGTGGAAGGCGAATTTGTGGGCAAACATGACGATGCGCACCACGATGATGCGAGACGTCGCGCTGCTTCTGGTGTTGCTGTGGCTGGGCTGCTGTGTTGCTGCCGCTGCTGCCGCTGGTGGTGGTGATGATGATGCTGGAACAGCACCGACACCCAGCGAGCCAAGGCGGAAGCCATCCTTTGTTATCTTCCTCGCTGATGATATGGGGTGCGTCAGCGTTGGAAGGGATTGGCTGGCAGATGTGTGTGAATTGTTTTGCTTTTTGTGGTTGCTGTGGTTGATCGACGACACCAAATGCATGTATCACCGCTTGATCATCGTCTCACGTCACGTCATCTTGTTTGCTTGGTCAGATACGGTGATGTCACCTACTACGGCGCACCAACCACCCATACGGTATGTGCCCATCATGTGCTTGTGTCCCTGTCCATGTCTGCGCTGACGTGCATGTCCGTCTATGAGATGATTAAAACGGCACCGTACTCACTGGCTTGTGCGTGCCTTGCTGTTATGCGCAGCCGAACATTGACAGGATCATTCGCGAGGGCAAGGACTTTCGCCAATTCTACGCAGCAGCTTCAGGTACGTTGCAATTGCTGCGACTTCCGACTATGGGTGTTCCACTCTTCTGTGTTCCACTCTTCTGTGTTCCACTCTTCTGTGTTCCTTGCTTATTGTGGTCTGTCATGCCCACAGTCACCCAATACCTGACTGCAACACAACTCACTCACTCTTTCACACACTCACTCACTCACTCACTCACACACACACTCACTCACTCACACACACACACACTCACTCACTCACTCACTCACACACACACACTCACTCACTCACTCACTCACACACACACACACGCACACACACAAACACACACACACACGCACAGTGTGCTCTCCTAGCCGTGCTGGCTTGATGACGGGTCGCGACCCCGTGCGCATGGGCATCTTCTCGCGTATTCTGCGTCCGTCGCTGCGCGTGTTCTTCCCGTGGAACACCTCCTCCATGCCCAGCAACGAGACCACCATTGCCGGCCTCCTGAAAACAGCAAACTACACCTCCCACTACGTGGGCAAGGTGTGGCTTTGAGCGTGGTAGCATGGTGCTGTCCGTCTGTCTGTGGGAGTATGCACTTTCCTGATCACGCCACGCAACTCCACTCCACACTTACACGTGCACCACCACCACCACCACCTCCACCTTCCAAACACCACTCCTGACTGTTTGCAGTGGCACCTCGGCCATGTTAACGCACTTCCTGTGCATCGTGGATTCGACGGCTTCTTTGGCATTCCCTACTCCCATGACAGTACGTTGACAGCCACTCATCATCATCGCCACCACTATGCGTGCCGTGCCTTCACAACGCTCATAACATGCTGCTCATTAGGGAGCTCTCGCCTTTTGCCCCCCCCCCCCTCCTTGCGGCCCACGTCATGTTCTTTCCCGCTCACTTGCGGAAGACGTCACGTGGCGACGCAACACGCTGGCTCGCTCAACACCCCCCCCCCATCGTCATACATCGCTTCACCTCCCATTCCTCACCATTTTTTTCCCTTCACCATCCTTTCTCCCAAACCAACTTTGACCCGCGTGCCATTCGTTGTCCACCTCACCACCTCAGTGTGCAGCGAGGTGTATGGTGTTGAGGACCTCCCCATCGTCAACCGCGCCGTCCCGCCGCTGCCGCTCATGCGAAATGCGGACATTCTGGAGCAACCGGCGGATTTTTCCTCCGCCACCGACCGATTCACGGACGAGGCCGTCAAGTTCGTTCACGAGCACGCGGACCAGCCGTTCTTCCTTGTTGTCAGCTACTACCAGCCACACATCCCACATGTCACCCCGCTGCGCTACAAGTTTCACTCCCTTCGTGGCCCTTTTGGTGACAGCGTGCAGGAAATGGACGTCAGGTGTGTGTGTGTGTGTGTGTGTGTGTGTGTGTGTGTGTGTGTGTGTGACTGTCTGTCTGGCTGTCTGTCTGTCTGTCTGTCTGTCTGTCTGTCTGTCTGTCTGCCGATGGATGAGTTTCAATCGTTCTGCATTTCTGTACCCTGGCAGGCTGTGTTACGCCTGAGATTGCTGCTGTAATCTGTGCACAACCTGGCGCTTTCTCACAGAGCCGCGCTGCTTCGGTGGTGCTCGCTTGTGCGCTTGCATGTGCAGCATTGGCCAGGTGATGCAAGCCATCAAGGACGCCGGCATCGACGACAACACGCTCGTCATGGTCACCAGGTGCGGGGCGATCAAATGCAACCAACGTCACCCTTGTTCCTGCGCAGGATGCTCAACGCACTTGCCGTGACTTGTCCTGATGGTCACTCACAATAATATCCTTTACTCGCTCACACACACACACATACACACACACTCACTCACAATGACACAATCACACACTCACTCACATACACACACACTCACTCACTCACAATGACACAATCACAATCACAATCACAATCACAATCACAGTGACAACGGCCCGTGGGTTGACTCTGGCATTGACGGTGGATCGCCGGGCCCCATGCGCGGGGCAAAAGGGACGACGTGGGAGGGCGGCACACGCGTCGTGTCTGCATTCCGCTGGCCAGGCGTCATCGAGCCGTTAACAACAGAGATGACCCCTGTCAGCATGATGGACCTTTTCAGCACGTTTGGTCACATTGCTGGCCTGAACGTCACGTCAACACCGGATTTCGCCACAGACTCGCACTCCTTTGCGCACTTGCTCAACAGCTCCTACGCGCCAAGTGCAAAGTCGCGCCCGGCCATTTACTACTTTTATCACGACGTTCTCATGGCCATTCGGTGCGTGTCTGCCCAAGTGCATACATGATACAGATGTGTGTGTTTGTGTGTGTATGTGTGTGCGCTGTGTGTGTATGTGTGTGTGTGCGCGCGCGCTGTGTGTGTATGTGTATGTGTGTGCGCTGTGTGTGTGTGTGTGCGCGCGCGCGCTGTGTGTGTGTGTGTTTGTTGCCTGCCCTCGCTGCTGCTTTGGTGCCTTCCAAATCTGCGCCCCTCTCACCTTCTCTCACCCCGCCTCTCACCCCGCCTTTCACCCCTTCTCTCGCACCGCCTCTCGCACCCCTGTCCCTCTGCGTGCGCGTGCACACTTTCAGCATGGGGCCTTTCAAGCTGCACAAGTACACGCGATGCGCGTACTGCTACGAGGAGCCTGTGCCACAAGACCCACCCCTACTCTTCAACATCGACCACGACCCTGGCGAGCAGCACCCGTTGTCTGTCGAAGACCACCTGCTCATCGTTGATGCGTTGGAAGCAGAGTACGACCGGTACCTCAGCACCATCTCGCCGCGCCAGCCGCTGTTTGACCAGTTCAAGTTGGACGCTGCCCCATGCTGCTCGCCACAGCCATACCTGCAGCCGTGCAACTGCACGCACGCGAACATGACCGTTGGCGAGGCTGCACAGAGCGTCTCGCCCAACAGGCAGTCGACCTCCCCGGCATCGGCCAAGATCAGGAAGGCCGCAAAGGCGCTGTATACCATGCTGGAGAAGAAGCATCCAGACCTCCTCACAGACAAACTGACGAGCGAGGAGGTGTCTGCTGCGTTTGAATCTCTGATTGGCAGTCCAATGGAGCCTGTGATGCAGTGCATGCTGGGCGGGGAGCCATCTTTGGAAGGCTACGAAGAGGATGAGGCGCTCTTTGCCTGAGATCATGAGAAGCACTGAACATAGTATGCATCGTACTCGCGACTGCCACTCACCGTCGCAGTGCCATCACGTCATGTGTTACAGCTATTGCTCCCTGCTCACGTGCGCTTCGTGTATGAGTTAATGTGAGGCTTGCTTTCCTTCCGGTACATTTTGTTTTCTTTGCTTCGGTTCGTTACCCTTGGCGTTCTTGTTCTTGTGCCGTTTGGGTGTCACAGGTCGTTCGTGTGTGCTGCGCTCTGCTCTGCTGCGCTCTGCTCTGTTGTGGTTTTGTCTTTGGTTTTCGGTCATCTATGCCCCTCGCTTAAACGGTGGTACATCTGTTATTACTTTTCGTGCAAACACCCAGTGCGGCACACAAAAGAAATAAGGAAATAAACACGCGACCAATCACTGTGCATGCGTAGAACCGAAGCAACAATCAAAGACATTCGGCAAGAACACGAACCACACATTCAACACATCCTCATCATGCATTGCTGCCGCAGGGCGTTTTACTGTTTTGCCTCCAGGCAAGCTGAGATCTTCTCCAGCTGGGGTTTGACGGAGTACGGAACGTGTTCCTTGGCCGACAAGGACCCCACCCCATCCTGTTTTGTGTTTGTGTGCGTGTGTGTGTGTGTATGTGTGTGTGTGTGTGTGTGTGTGTGTGTGTGTGTGTGTGTGTGTGTGTGTGTGTGTGTGTGTGTGTGTGTGTGTGTGTGTGTGGCAGGCGAAACTGATAACCTCCCAAGCCGTGCGTTCACGCAGCAGCTCATACACGTACCTTGACTTGTCCATACATGCTCTTCCAGCCGTTTGTGTTGCTGACAATTTGGTGGAGGAGCCGCAGGAACTGATACAGCCCCTAAACGCACAAACAACGAACAGTGAGAGCGGGCAGAGGAGAAGGAGAACATGTTTCCCATACACGCATTTGCAAACAAACACACACCACACCACACCACACCACACCACACCACACCACACCACACCACACCACACCACACCACACCACACCACACCACACCACACCACACCACACCACACCACACCACACCACACCACACCACATCACACCACACCAGGAAACGTACAGGGTCGGTGATTTCGCGATCGCGGAGTTCGCGCAGAACAATATCGACGAGCAGCAGCAGATCGGCCTCGTACGCAAAGCGGTCCCCTGAGGACGCGTCGGAGAAAACATCCTGCAACAGTTTCATCACGCTGTGCTCTGCAGGCTGCAGCTCGCAGTCAGGCTCCACGCCAAGCAGCGCGGCCACCGGGTCCTGGCGTGTGTGTATGGGCAGGCATGGGCACAGGTGAGAATCGCTCGCAGCAAGACGAATGTTTGTCGCAAGCACCACCAACAACAGCCACATGCGATAGTGGGATCGTGTAAAATGCACAAGCGCATGAGGGTTTTGCCGCATTAAAGTGACGACAACACGGACATTGTGACAAGCAACCACAAAGTGCTGTTGCTGCCTTGGCCAACTCACCTCTCCCCGGTTCATGAACATGAGCAGCTTGTGGCTGATGGCCCGCACGTCGTGCTCTGATATCGCCTTCACAAGCTGTGGGAAAAAAAAAAAGGAAACAACGGAAGGGCATCCGCGAATATGAGCGACAAATCAACATCAACCATAGAGCCATCACGCTGCTTCAGCTCCACGTGTGCCAGCGATGCATGGGCACACATCAGGGAACGCCATGTCTACAGCCTGTGCAACCTCACCGCATGTGATCCGGTCGCGGGCTTGACCACTTGTTTGTTGAGCGCAAGCAACGCGACAATTGCTGCGTCACAAATCTGCCCCAGTTCCATCATGTTTCGTGCGCGGATGAGTCGCTGAAACAGGAACACGCACATGTGCACGCAGCTGATACACGCACAAACATGCAGAGTTATGTCCGAACAAACATATGCGCAAGTGCCAATGACGCGAACAAACCGCTTGCTCTGCCTGTGTCGCAACAGCACCGCAGGACATTGACAGGAGATGCGGCAGGAACGTCTCTTGCAGGTATGCTGGCACGCAACGTGCGTTGAAGGCAGATTGGAGGGCGTGCATGATGTGCGGGGGTGAGGATGATACACGCCATTGGGAGAGTATTCACATACCTTCACAGCACATACACACGCGCATATACACATACGTACTCACGCATACAGAAACACACGCACACAGAAACCAAGACACGCATGCACACACATGCACACACACACACAACGCCATGACACACATCAAACACACAATCGACCTACCCGCATTTTGAGAGGAGAGGGCGTTGTGACCTTGGCTGTAAATGAGCGCAAACAGCTCCAACGACGCTTGGATCTGTCCACTCAAGGGAATGACACGAGCAACAGCAGCAAGAATTATTGGTGGTTTGTGAGCTCACAAACACAACAGTACAAAACGTACACTGTCCAACAAAGCAACAGAGCAGATAACGACAACAAGCAAGATAGGATTATGATTGCGACAACTTGAACCACAACAACTTCAACTACGACAACACCATCGCCTGCACCTTTGGTTGCAGATCTTTGTCCGTGGTGGACGAGTCCATGATGTCCCGCGCCAGCTCGCTCGGCAGCACCGTAAGCTGCACACAGGAGTGCAAAGTGCACTTGCTTGTGAGCCATTGGCTGCAAGCACAAACTCAGTTACATGTGTGTGTGTGTGTTTGTGTGTGTGTGTGTGTGTGTGTGCGTGTGTGTGTGTGTGTATGTGTGTGTGTGTGTTGGATAGATGGGAGGACATCCCACGAGCTGACCTGAAGGATAGGGATGACGTCCATGTCCAGTTTGATGAGAGCAATGAGCAAAAGCAACATTTCAAGGCGAAGATCCACGCGGGTTTCCTGAAGTACAATCGCAAACCCACACAAAACGCGCATTCATGCACCGTGAATGTAGCCGAGATGTGAGATCCTCAAACATCTGCACGAACCAAACACGCACACACACACACACGCACGTACACGCATGTACACACACAAACACAACCGTTGCATACCATCTGGTAGAAGACGGAGAGGATCTCGACAATCTCGTACTGGCCCGTCCTGCCCGGTGTGAGCCACTGCCGCACAAGGCGCATCACAACAGTTGGGTTGGCGTCGTCAACAAGCCGCCGAAATTGATGCAGGCACTGATGGATCTCCGCCCTGTTGCGAGTGATAAAACAGGGGTGAGCGAGCAGGAGGGTGGTGGGTTTTGGAGGGTGAAACTTGAGACGTGAGGAAGACAGGCGCTCACGTAGCATCAGAGCTACACACGCGCTGTTCCTGGTTCCGTGAGACAAAGCAGGACGCGTTGACAAGAACCACAGATGCAGGAAGCAGTACGTGTCATCGTCGATGGCCCAGCCCCGCTGCTGTGCGTCCTCCGCGTACCCGCTGATGCGCTCAAACAGCTCCTGGAGTGGTCAAGGCGGCCACAAGGGCAAAGGGGCGTTGCTTGATCACAGCGTTCATGCCAACCAGCACAGCCGCGTGGCTACACAAACACACACGCACACAACACAACACAACACAACACAACACAACACAACACAACACAACACAACACAACACAACACACGCACAACACAACATAACACAACACAGAGAGAGCAGCATTGAGACCCACGGTGAGGGTGATTTCGTCCTGTCCGCCCACGATGGGGGAATCCGGCGCTGCCATCACGCCGCCAACACGCGACAGCACTGCGCAGATACAAGCACGCACACACACACGCACACACACACACACGCACACACGCACACGCACACACACATCATGCACACGAGGGATTTATGTAAGTTGTCGCACTTACACATGGATTTGCTTTCGCCAGCATCGGTGTGCTGTTGCAGGTTGCTCCGAAGCCACACGCCCCAAACTGAACAAACTTGCAAACTGGACGAAACTTGCACGTGGCTGTGGTTGCATCTCTCACCTTGTGCGTCGTCCACGTGGGACCAGAGAATGTCAAGCACAGACAGCAGTGCCCCCCTGATATGGCCAAGACGACAGCGCCCATGCATGTGAGCGAAGGGGTGGTGGTGGCCACAAAGTCTACCGTGACGACACCCAGCCTCGCAAGCAGGGCACACGTTGAGAACATCACACATACACATACACATACACATACACATACACATACACATACACATACACGTACACATACACATACACGTACACATACACATACACGTACACATACACGTACACATACACGTACACATACACGTACACATACACATACACATACACATACAAATACAAATACAAATACACACGCACGCACACACACAATTACACACGTGCGTGTGTGCGTGTCGCAAAACACAACACCACGTGCATAACCAATAGAGTGAAGGCATGTGCCAGCCTTGCCTTGATTGGTTGTAGCTGATGTCGTTTTCGTCGCGAATTTGCTGGATCACCTCAGATTTCAACTGGGTGGACACAGTAGCGCGCGGGTGAGTTGAGGTGCAGATGGCAATTGTCACAGAGCGCCCAAACTTCCACAGCAAAGGCCGAAAGCAATGCCATTCACACAGACGAATGCGCACAAAAGCGCGCCGCATGCACACAAGATACAGCGCCACAACACTCAAGCGCAAGGCCCGCACACGTACGTTCCGAAGGACGTTTTCAACATCTGCAAACGGGGTGGGGAGCGGTGGTGGAAGCTCGGCGCTTGGCGCGGTGGTGGCGACAGGAGCAACCACGGAGAGGACGGGTGCGGGCACCGGCTGGGTTGGACTCGGTGGCGGTGACACCTGCACCGTTTGCTTCAGTGGCGAGCCCTGCCGCACCACAGCGCCGGCAGGCTTGCGGTTGTGATGGGGTGAAGTTGGCGCTTGTGGAGGCGTGGTGGTGAGAGCAGCTGACTCGGCTGCCGTCGCCGAGGCTGTCGCTGCTGACGCTGATGATGGCGGCGGTGGTGCAGGGCGGGTGGCGAGTGAGCCCTTGCGCTGTGGTGGCGGCGGCGCGGGGCGGGATGGACGCGATGGTACGCCTGCAGACGCCGTTGTTGCGGGCTTCTGCTCGGAGGAACAAGTGTGTGTGTGTGTGGGTGTGTGTGTGGGTGTGGTGGGGTGTGTGTGGGTGTGTACATGTGTGTGTACGTGTGAATGTGTTTGGTGGATTGCGTTTGTCAAACAAGCAGCAACAACACACCACCTCCAAAAATGCGCCTTACATGCGTTGTTCCAAGTTTCGATGACTGTGATGCACGCCTGCACACGCGCGCGGAAGCGAAGACAATGGGTGTGTTTGAGTGACATATGGTGTATGTGTGTGATGTGTGTGAGCAACATGCAAAGGTTGTATGTGAGCGCATTGTGTGTGTGTGTGTGTGTTGTGTGCGATTCAACGGTGTTGCGAGGGGAGGCTTGCGATACGCTGTGTCAAGACGGCGCAACGAAAGCAAAAGCCGCCCCCGCCCCTTCTCGCATTCACTGCCTCCATTTCGCTCTCTGCTCCTCCTGCTTCATACGCAGCCACAGGAGATGGACACACTTGAACACGCGGGACACGTCGAGATCACTGATGAATGACAGAACATCTGCGGGGATCAGTTGGTTGGTCTGCATCTTCGCTTCCACTTCCTTCAGAGTCGCGATGACCTGTTTCTGTGGAGCGGTGCAACAGCAATGCAGATAACACCGCAGATGACAAAGTGCGGTGTGAGGGAAGCACATTACACATATTGCATGCGCAAGGTACAGGCACAAGGAGACGGGATCTTCCCGCATGCATGCAAACGGGCGCAGTGCCCACGCACCTGCTGGTCTGAATATTGAAAGCTTTTGGGAAGCTTGGCGATGAAATCGAGAGAGTGATGGACATGGGCTTGCAGACACTGTCTCTCCTGTTGCGATTGAGGTACCGCGGGAAAACTGGTGAGGTTATGCGCGGCAGTGCGTGTTACAGGCGTATGGCAGGTTGCCCTTTCGACAGTTTCGCGCGCAGATGTGCAATTCTGCAGACGTGTGCAATCACACACGCACGCACATACACACACACCTCGTCGCTGAAGGTGCTTGTCGCTGTCGCGGTAGTGGTGGTAGGCGGCTGTTGAGGCTGTGGCTGAGCAACTGTGGCAGCAGCTGCAGCTTTGGCGGTGCGCTTTGGCGATGATGTGCGAGGGGATCTTCCCGTTTGTTTTTCCAGCGCCTTCTGCAAGTCTTTGTTGGTCAGTGGGCGCTTCAGTTTACCCCAACCGTCTTTGACTTGATGGGCCAAGTAAAAGTCCAGTAGTTCTTGAATCCTTTCACATCAGACGTGTTGATATGTAAGTGAAGGTGTGAGCGAGTGAGTGAGTGAGTGAGTGAGTGAGTGAGCGAGGGAGTGAGTGAGTGAGTGAGCGAGGGAGTGAGTGAGTGAGTGAGTGAGTGAGTGAGTGAGTGAGTGGACATGAATCTGTGTGTATGTGTGTGCATGTGTCTATGTGTGTGCATGTGTGTCCATGTGTGTCCATGTGCGCGCGCATTTCAGGCGGGAACGAGCGGAGAAAACCGGTGGAATGAAAATGCGAGGGCTCGGCGCGAGCGAACGCAGATTATCGCAGAGTGAAGTGTGCCTACGTTTTGCGCGGCACGGTGTCACCAGCAAGCGCAAAGCCCTTGGTGCACGTGCGAATCTCCAATTCCTCGACTTTCTTTCCTTTGGTCCTGAAGCCAACAAAACATGTCGTGTGAAAAAGCAAAACACATGTGCGCGCGCGCGCGCGCGTGTGTGTGTGTGTGTGTGTGTGTGTGTGTGTGTGTGTGTGTGTGTGTGTGTGTGTGTGTGTGTGTGTGTGTGTGTGTGTGTGTGTGTGTGTGTGTGTGTGCGTGTGTGCGTATGTGCGTGTGTGTGTGTGCGTACTTGAAGAGGAGACAGAGTGTGCCACGCTTCCGCCGTCGTTCCCGAAGACAGTACGTTCCCACGTTTTTCTGCACATGGTTTTGTTTGTACGAAGGTGCGTGAAGGCGCGTGAGAGAGAAATGGGACGATGCCAAATGTGTGGGAAAGGGCAGTCGGTGTTGCTGAGCTTCATTGCACACATGCCCACATGCCCACATGCCCACATGCACACATGCACACATGCACACATGTACACATGCACACGCGCGCACGTGCCCACACATGTACACATGCACACATGCCCACACATGCACACATGCCCACACATGCACACCTTCTTCAGGATTGAAGAAAGGACGTCGATGCTTGCCTGGCCCACAAAGCACGGCAGATTCTCAGCTGCAACAAGGGCGGCCTCCTTGAAGTATGCTGCAGGCGCCAGCCCAGACTGATGTGTAGAAATGAGCAAGCATGAGACAACGAACGCTGCGAAACCCTTCCCTGCGTCATTCCCTTTCCGCCTCATCTCTGCCTTTTGGTGTCTTTTTTTTTCCCGCCAAACCAGGCCGAGACTTCCCGCACAGGCAAACAAAGCCACAAACTTCTCACCTGATTGTGGGTGTCAGTGACGTGTGCCCAACCATCCTTGTGGCTCATGTGCAACGTGTACATGCGCCCTTGCACCAAGGGCAGCTGCCCGCTCTGTTGGGGCTGGAAATCATGCAACGCGATCATAACACTTGACCGCGGCCCTCGCTGCTGCTGCTTCGACTGCGGCTGCTGCTGCTGCTGCTGCTGCTGCTCCATGACGACTGCGACCGACACTGGCTGTGTTGGGTGCCGTTGTTGGCTTGCTTGCTTGGTCTGCTTCGCTTGTCTTTGTCCTTCCTCTACGCTCTTTTCACCTGTCGTGTGTCGTCATAGTCAAATAACCAGATAAACACGTTTAAAGAGACGTGGAAATTTATTGGAAGACTTCGACATAAATGCTTGCAGGCACCGCCCCCTTTGCCAAAACACACGAAGCAAGAAGGAAGCGCCGCTTCACTGGCACGCCATTTCCCTGCAGCCAAGACCGACAGTCGGATATCGATCGACCAAAACGCCCTGTCGTCTCTTCATCGCGTGAGTGAATGAGAGTGTGAAAGTGTGGGTGGGAGAGAGGGGCCTCTGCCTGCCTCTCTCTTCCTACTCTTGTGCCTTAATTGACTGCCTTCCTCCCTTGTTTCTTACTTGCTTGTTTGCATGTTTGTGTAGTTTGCTCTGCAACTCTCTCAAAATGCTTGTTCCTCAAGCGGTTTGGTTGACAAACATGTGGCACACACTCACTCACTCACTTGCACACTCACTCACTCACCCACACACTCACGCTCACTTGCATGCTGACACACTCACACACTCTCACTCTCTCACACACACACTCACACTCGCTTGCACACTCACTCGCTTGCACACACTCACACTCACGTGCACACACACACACACACACTCGTAATGTGCAGAACTTCATCAACACCACCACCACCAACCACCACCATGACGAGGTTGTCGTGTGTGCTTGCCATCGTTGCGGCAGTAGCCGTCCTTGCGCCCTCCGTCGCCCTGGCGCAGAACCAGTACACGTGCTCCAACACCCTGGTGTCCGTGGGTGAACTCAGCTCCTGCGGCAACTTCGCCTACCACCCCTCAGAGCATGTTTGCTGCAACGGCGTGCTGAACGAGCGCACGGGCGGAAACAACCAATGCTGCGGTACCGAGTGGGGCCTTGTCAGCCGCTGCTGCAACGGCGTGCTCACTGACCCAACAAACGGGACCGCCTGCTGCAACGGCAACATCTACAACCCAGACTTCTTCGTGTGCTGTGAGGACGGCAGCGTGCTCCCCACCACCTTCTCCAGCTTCACCTTCCCGGCCTGCTGCTATGATGCCTCCAGCAAAACGACGTCCCTGTACGACGCTGCCACGTCCACCTGCTGCGGTGGCACCGTGCGCGATCAAGTTTCCGCCCCTGACCAGGCCATCTGCTGCATTGACGGGCAGTACGAGGAGTTCAATGCGCTGGTGGAGAACCGCGCCTGTTGTGAGACGCGCAGCCGCTCCGAAATCTTCGACGCCAACACGCACCGCTGTTGTGAAGACGGCCCCGTTGTCCTCCCAGACACCATCAACACCTACCAGTGCTGCGGGGCTGAGCTCTACGACGTGGACGAGCAGGACTGCTGCGACGGCGTCTTGTACGACAAGCAGGACGACTACATGTGCTGCGGAACGCAATACAGCGACGTCTCCGCCCTGGACTTCCCCACCTGCTGTGGCTCCACTTTGTATGACGCCGGTGTCGGTGCCCTTCGCTGCTGCGCCGAGGGCGTCTACAACTTGAACGACGACACCTGTGTCCAGCAAGAGTGCCGTCGCTGCGGCGAGCGCGAGTTCTGTGCCGCCTCCACTTCCTCCGCCACTGGCCCACTGGCCACCGTTCTTGCTGTGGCAGCTGCCCTCATCCTGGCCCTCACCGTCTAACACAACCACCACCACCAACAACAACAACAGCAACAACCACAACAACGACATCATCAACAACAACAACAACAACAACAACAACAACAACAACAACAACAACAACAACAACAACAACAACAACAACAACAACAACAACCACCACCAACAAACAACAACAACAACAATGCCCACAATTTGCATTCGTTCCCTCCCCCCCCCCCCTTACACTCAATTTGTTTGTTGTGTCGTGCTGTTTCTCCCGTTAATGTGTCGTGTTCACAAACGCCGGTTTTGTTTTTTTCGTTACACTCCTCCGCGTTTGCTTGCGCTGCAAGTCCTTATTTGGCCTGCCCAGGTTCCTTCAGTCGCATGTCCCCCCCCCCCTCCAGTTCTCACACATTGGCGGCGTTCAACCCAACCACCAGCCCCCTCTCCTTCCCGCTATCCTCCAGCGCTGTTGCCCCTTTCTCGTTCAGTGTTCTTCCCAATACAACTGCTGGTGTAAGAGTGTGCTGTTGTCAGCATGGCCACCCACATGGAAGCGAGCATGCATGCACGGTGTTGGACTGTATGCTTCACGCTCGTGAAAGTTATGAAGGAAGCGGGCTCTTGAAGTGCACACACACGCACACAGAACCAGAGAGAGCGAGAGACAGAGAGAGACAGAGAGACAGACAGAGACAGAGAGACAGAGAGAGACAGACAGAGAGACAGAGACAGAGACAGAGACAGAGACAGAGACAGAGACAGAGAGCAACGCTCAAAGCCGCCATCACGCTGCGGGAGTGGATGAAGTGGGCGTTGGCGCCTTATCGCCGCCCTCACAATCACCACTGCCACTTGTGACTGGCTGGTGCTTGAGAGTGCCAAGCAGCTGCTTCTTAAACAGGGCCGCCCACGTTTCAAAGCCCGTGGGCAAGTGCTCCGATGCATGCATGCAATCTGCAGCCAGATACGGCGGCTGCACTCGCACCACCACTTGCAGCACAGGCGACGACGCATCATGCTCCATGGGCATGGTGGCGCTGCCAGTATTGCTGATGTTGCCATCACCCGTAGCCGCCTCAGACTGTTGCTGCTGAAGTTGCTGTTGTCTTCGTCGACGGCGGCGATTGACCCATGTCACCTCTGCTGCCTCCAGGATGACAGAGGTGCCTGCCATGTCGGGGATGGCATCGAAAGCGCCTCGAACACCGCTGTCAACACCCTCGCCGTCAGCTGGGTCGCGGACAGTGAAGGAAAGCTCCTCACAAAACTGCTGCACGCCGGCCATGATCTTGTCCATGTACATGCAGTGTGTATGGAAACTGAAGCGCTTGCCGCTCTTCCGCAGCCATTCATCAAACAGCCAGCACACCCCGGCCACAGCGACCCTGGTACACAGCACAGTAGCGACAACGGCGTGGGTGGATGGTGGGTGGAGAAGAGATGAGCGCAGCGAACAAAAGAAATCCACGAATCACAACACGCATACACAAACGCAAGTGCGCACGCACGAAAGCACACGCACGCAATAAAACAGCTGAACACACGCCCGTGTACATAACTGGCACACACACACACACACACACACACACACACACACCTGCTGTGTCGTGCGGTGACATTACGAGCGACATTGTGTGTGCGATCAAATGGATCCACAAAGACAAGGCCAGCAGCGCCACCAATCGCAGAATCGTGCTGCAAAAAGGCCTCCCTCGACACACTCGACTGCACAGCACCAGGCGGGCGAATGTCCATCACAATGTCCGGGTGCACAGCCATCCCTGCAAAGAAACCACACACACACACATACACACACACACACACAATGTATCGTTTCGAGCGCGTACGCATGCGTGTGTACATGTGTGGCCGTCCATGTGAATGGCAATGCAAGGTGGAGGGCACAATACACGTGTCGACACGCAAACCGGATGGGCGCAGAAGAAGCCATACAACACACGCACACACACGCACACACAACACACACACGCACCCACGCACACAAAACGCACACACAAGCTCCCAAAACACACACGCACGCACGCACGCCGCAAATCAAATCTTGACACTGCCTGCACTCACATGCGGCAACAAAGTCAAAAAAGTCGAGAAAGACGTGTCCAAGAAGCGCCAGATCCGCGGCAATGTCGAGCCCATAATGCGACGGCTGCTGATGCGGACAGAACATGCAGTCGTGCTCATGGATCGTCACAAACGCCTCTGAGTCTAGCAGAGACACGAGATGCAGCAACAGGTGCAGGAGTAGCGTGAGACAGGCAATGGGCAAGTGCGTGGCTGTGCGTGCGTGTGTTTACGTAAGTTTGTGTGTGTGTGTGTATGTGTGTGTGGATGTGGGTGTGCATTCACGCATATGAAGGCGCCAGCACAAGAAAAAACAAGGCAACGTGCCATGCCAAACAACAAGGAAGCAGTGTAGCGTGTACCTCCTAGCTGCGCCTTGGTGCGCTTGTGGGACTGGGAGCCATCGTCATCGCCCATACGAAGCGACCATTCAAGTGCGCACTGCTCGCATGCGGGTGCACAGCCCTCCTGGACGTTGATGCTGTCTGCCGCAATCTGCTGCAGACTCGGCACCTCGTGCTTCATCTTCACGCAAGACAAAAATGTGTGTGGGGCGGAGAGAACGATGCTTTGGTGTGAGATCACAGAGAAGGCAAAGACGAACGATTGAGGGAGAAGTGATAGAGGAGTCAAGCGCGCGCATTATGGTGGACTCAGCACCGACGATAACAAGCTCACCAAGCTGTGTCAGACAGACACACACACATACACACCTGCATGTATCGAATGGCGAGGAGCGTGACAAAGTAGCTTGACCAAGGGACGGCGAGCGCCTTGAACCAGATGCAGGCAGCGCGAACCAAGGTGCGAAATCCAGGCCACAACCGCATATAGTGGTCAACGAGCTGCGTGTTGCGCTCCGCAAGCCTTCAGGTTTTTGGGACAGTCGCTGTTGTCAGTCATGGCAATGTGCACACCGAGCGGATTCCTGATTGCCATGCAAATGCGTGACTGCATACGCAAGTACATACACGCACGCACACACGCACGCACACACATGCACACGCGCGCGCGCGCAAACACACATGAATGCACCTGTTGTGCAAGGAGACTTCAATTGGCGTGCTTGTGGTGAGATGAACGGCCTTGATGATTGGGCAGCGCGCCTCAGGCAGGCACAGCACTCTACATTCACGTGTGTGCATAGAACGCCGAGAAAGCAAAGTCGGGCCAGCAGCAAAGCACCAAGGCAAGTGTCAGTGCTTCAAAAGGCACGCGCAGCAGGCGTGCCTACTCAAGAACACACGCACACACACACACACACATGCACGCACGCACATGTGTGTGAACAAACATAGACACGAGAAAGCCACCTCACACACAAACATGTAAACACACACACACATACACATCCATACACATCCATACACATACACACACACAAGCTCGCGTGTACTCACTGGCCAAAGTGCTGGGCGGAACGAAGGGCCTGTGCAAGGGTGTGGAGGCCGTCGCGACCGGTCAGCCAGGGCGCACTGACACTGACGTCAACATCGCTTCCTTCACGGGCGAGCCCAGTGACCAGCGAGCCAACAGCCACGACAAAGGGCCGCTCGCGGTCAACGGAGGGAACCCCATCAGGTGCGCATGCACGCACGACGGTGTCCAGCTCCTTCAGCACGCGCTCGTGCGTCGCCTGTACGCTTGGCTTCTGCTTCAGGTGGCCCACCACCATCTGCACCTGCTGCCCAAACTTGCGTAGGTGCTCCTGCGAGCGCGGCGTGGCGGTGTCAGGTGGCACGTACGCGATTGGCGGGAAGTCGTAGGGCACAGCAAGCAGCGTGCCGCGCACGGTTTGCTTCTCAATGGGGTCGGGCTTTGTCGGGGTGATCTTGGCTGGTCTTGCATGCGCCGCCGACGACGATGCTGCCGTCGCGGGTTTGGCGCGTGCACGCCGCTTGTCGTCACCGTTCCCCTTTGCGCCAGCCACGGGCTTGAGTTGCTGGCGATGGAAGAGAGGTTGAGTGCAGAGGGGAACGCGTGTGAAGTTGTGTAGCCACTGCATGCAGCAGTGTAGTCAACAAACACGTCAAACGTCCAACCCACAAATGCAAACAGGCACACACACACGCACGCACGCACACACGCACACACGCACACACGCACACACACACACACGCTCACACAGGCACACACAGGCACACACACCACTTTGCGTGGCAGGTACTTGAACTTGACACCGTCGTGGACAATGTGCTGGCCCTAGTGCGGTTATATCAAAGAGAAAACACGAGCAAAATGTTGAGCATGGGCGAAAAGCGGGAAAGCAAGGCAACGCGTAGCGGTGCGCTGTTTGCTCACGGAAGCCACATGGGCAAGCGAGCACGTAAACGCTTACCTCGCTGAGGAGCTTGGTCACAGGATCAGCAGACGCAAACTCAATGATGGCAAATGCCCCCTGCACAAGTGCATACGCTCACACGGAGTGAGAATCGGATGGCCGTGTTCGTATTGACCGCGCCAGTGCCAGGGCCAGTGTCCATACCAGGCAACGCAAGCTTCAACCCGCAACCATAAACACCTGCACACGCACGCGTACCTTGTTTGGGTCAACGATGACACGTGAGATGGGCCCGTGCTGCTCAAAGGCGCTGCGAATGACTGTCTTATCGTTGCCAGCTACCAAAGTGTGTGTGTGTGTGTGTGTGTGTTTTGTGTGTGTGTGTGTGTGTGTGTGTGTGTGTGTGTGTGTGTGTGTGTGTGTGTGTGTGTGTGTGTGTGTGTGTGTGTGCCAGGGGGGGGGGGGGGCAAGCAAACAGGCTCCTGTATTCGAGACACACGCACGCACACGCATGCACACACGCACGCACGCACACGCACGCACACACTCACTCACTTTTCGCGTTCAGTGGCACGAAGAGGCTGCGCCTGGCTTCTTCCTCGCGGTGCTGGAAGATCTCCACCTGGCGCTTGTGTCGCTTGCCTTTTACATGTTCCGCATACTGATCCTCTGATGTGCACACGCGCGTGTGAAAATGTGAGGACAGAGGTAAAGGAAGATAGAGGACTCACGACGCTTGACATTTCCACACTTCGACACGCAAACACACACACACACAGCCACACACACACACAGCCACACACACACACACTCGCACACGCACGCACGCACACACACACTCGCACACAGACCAGAGGAGAGGGCGATGCCACACACTGCACACTTGTGCATTGTTGCTTTGCTTCCTCTGTCTCTTCAAAGAAACGGTTTTTGAAAGCAAGCAAGAAGCAAGCAAACCCTTTTCCCGCGCGTGTTTTGTGTGTGATGTCTTGATGTTGTGTTCACACACCCTCCCCCCCCCCGTACACCCGAGTCGTGCGTCGCCTCGTGTGTATGACCACATGCACAGGCAGATACAGAGACCAACAACTGGCCTCACAGAACAAGCTAAGAAAGTGATAAATAAATAGGCAAAGGAAGAAGGCCGCTGGAGGTATGGCACTTGCTTGAAGCAACAATAAGAGGACGAGTCGTCCAGTCAAGCAACAAGCTTCATGCCACAGGCGTTACTGTGTGCGCTCCCACACGCCTTCGCATCGCACACTTTCCAATCCACACCGTCAGAGAAATGTAACACAGCGGATATATGTACAGGGGAAGCTCGGCCGATGCAGAGAACGAGAGAGCAAGCGAAAGCGTGGGGCACGTGCGAAAATGCACACGTTTGCGCACAAACGCAAACATGCACGCGTACACACGTACAGACGCACGCACACAAGTGTACGCACACGTAAATGCACACACAGAGGCGCGCGCGCACGTTCCATCAACTGGAGCTGATGGAGACGTTCTTGTGTGACGACGCCATGGACGCGTGCCGGCTGATGCTTGCAATCCTGTCGCGGTCCTCGGGGCCAAGCTTCGTTTCCATCGTCCGCTCCACCAGCCCAACGTCGTACGCGCGAAGCGCAATGCCAGACGTGTGCTGCGACAAGTCCGCCTGCGTGCCGCCAGTGCTCTGGCTGAGGGCCGCTTGTTGAGATGCGCGCATGCACGATCGCGACACGCTGCCGCGGTGCACGCCGTGGCCACCGTGCTCATCTTCGCTTGAGGACGGCCAATCGTCACTCGCACGCGGCACGGCACCAGGCAGCACCGTGGCATGCTGCCCCATGCCGCTTGTCACCAGCGCACCGCCCCTCCCTGGGGTGGGTGCTGTGGTTGGTTGTGATGCGGCGTTTGGAGGTGTCTGGCTGGTGACCGCTGCTTCTGCAAGTATGCTCGTCGCATCCGCTGCCCTGGAAGACGAGGAAGGGGAGCGGGGGTTGACGGCGGTTGTCGCGGACATTGCTGGTGCCACGAGAGAAGACGAACGACGATGGGTGGAGACCCTTCCTCTCCCCTTCAGACTCTTCTTTCGGTCATGGCGTGGCTTACTGTTCTCGTTACTGCTTGTGTGCGTGCCGCTGTCATTGCGGCTGTCATCCCCGCCTTCGCCCTCGCCTCTTCTGCGCGACGCAACAACACCTTCATCAGACCCGCTCGTGTTCCACTTCTCCACCTCATCATCCGCGTCGTGCTTCCGCCATTGCTGCCGCCCAAACCTCGCCCACCGGTGCCTTTTCTTCCCCAACACTGCCTTGTCATCGCCTGCCTGTGGCACGAACATCATCCCGTTCCCCCGCTCGTCATCACTGTCACCTTCACCACCACCATCATCCTCGTCGTCGTCATCATCATACTTGTGTGTAGCAATGCCGTACACTTCATCCTCGTCGATGACCAGCGAATCAAAGTGGCTCCAGTCAGTAAAGCATGACCCATCAGCCAGTCGACAGCAGATTTGTTGAAACCTGAAGATGTGTGCATATGTTTGAGAAGGTGAACGTGTGCATGAGGCGTGCGTGTGCGTGAGTGTTGACTTGTGTGTGTGTGTGTGTGTGTGTGTGTGTGTGTGTGTGTGTGTGTGTGTGTGTGTGTGTGCGTTGTTTACTCTTGTGTGCGTTGCGTGCGTGTATGTTGGAAGACGACAAGGTGCATGTGCTCACGCCAGCGCTCAATAGTATGCACCTGTGCCCAAATTTGATTTCCGGGGGCAGATAGCTTGACCGCAACTCAACGTTGAGGCCCAGACTCTGTCACGCGTCCGTACGCGTGCGCGCGCGTGTGTGACGGGGGGTGATGTTGGTGGTGGTCAGCGCGTTAGGAGGGCATGTGCAGAGGTGGAACAGGGACACTGCTATTTGTAACAATGCGAGCACAGCGAAAGCTCCCAATCTGCCCAGCAGCGAACACGCACACACACTCTCACTCACTGACACACACACACACACTCACTCATGTACACACAGACGCTGGCGGGGCGTTGTGCCTCACCGCAATCTGGCCGCCCAAGATGAGGACAATCTCTGCATGGCGCCTGCGCAGCGCACCCGGCGTCATTCCAAACAGCGGCGACGACTCGTCAATCAGGTGCAGGAGCTCATTTGGTACCGCCAAGAACGGCGTATTGGAGTTGGAGCCCTAATCGTTGGCGTGGGCGGAGAATGAAGCTCACAGATGAGCGTGCATGTGACAGGACAACAAGCCTAAGGTGTACACACGCACAAACAAACAGACACACGCACAAACACAGACATGCACAAACGCATGCACAAACACAGACAGCCGCATAAACAAACAGACACACGCACAAACACAGACATGCACAAACACAGACACACACACACACAAACAAACAGACACATGCGCAAACACAGACATGTACAAACACAGACAGCCGCATAAACAAACAGACACACGCACAAACACAGTCAGGCACACACATACAGACATGCACACACATGCACAAATAGATCCTTACGGAATCGACGACGAGGCGCTGTGTGTAGAAGGGAATGTGCTCGCCCTCCTCTGTGATGTGGTCCATCACCAGGAGCAGCTTGACCTCGCAGTTGACCAGGGGCGCGCGTCGCTGCCTCATGTCCCCAATGCGAATCATGAGGTATTGCTTCCCATCGCGCTTGGCCACGACAGCGTGTTTGCTGCACATGATTTTGGAACAAGGTGTCATATGTCAGTATCACAGTGTGACAACCGTGGTAGGTTGGTACGACGCAGTTGCATCCAGAGCGTCACGCAACTACAACGCTCATTTGTCGACAAACGCTCGACGCAGCCTCTTTCTACCTAAACACACACGCACGCACACACAGAGGCAGAAACACAGACATACACACACACACAGAGGCACGAACACAAACACAACAATTCCAACCACACACACATACACACATACACCTGCATCGAAGGGTGTAGACGCGGTTATCTGGGCGGGTGAGGCGTGCGGTGATGAGACCAAGCAGCACGGCGTCCATGAGCTTGCCCATCACCACTTGCACAAGCAGGAGGAAGATGCCAGCCTCGCACTCTCCGCGCACATGCTTGGACCCGTAGCCAATCGTGGTCTGTGTCTCAACGGAGAAGAGGAATGCGGTGGCAAAGTCGTCCACCTCGGCCAGGCACCGCGCGTCGGAGCGGAAGAGCAGGTACCAGAAGAGCCCGAACAGCAGAAACGAACACGTGTAGAAAAGGGAAAACAGGCCAACCAGGGTGGCAGAGGGCAGGTTGACGAGGAAGTTGTACATGTCCTTGAAGTTGGCCAGCCACGCCTGCAGCCCAGAGACATGCTCGAACATGCGGGTCTGTCCGTGTTTGGTGATGAGCCCGCCGCGGCCGTGGGAGATTTGTGTCATGCGCATTGATCTGATGAGGTTGCGGCTGAGGCGGCCATGCTTTTGTGTGTGATTCCACGTGGCACCAGGTGACTGCGACTGCTGTGGCGACGCCGTGGCGCTGTGTTTTCCGAGGGCGTCGCTCGCCAGCCGCAATGTCGACAAGCGCGCAAGCGTACTGTCGTGGGGCTTGAACAGCTTGCGCGTGGGGCTGGGGTTGGATGACCGAACATATGTGGGCTTCCTGACCAGCGCCGAGCCTTGTCGCGGGGACGCCTTGTCCCAAGCAGAGGAGGGCGCTGACGAACGCCTTGGAGACGGAGTTTCCGTGTAGGTCTGCCTTGTTCGTCTTGGGTCAAACGACGAGCTGAACGAGATGTGGGATGATGGTGCGAGGTGCGTGTGGGTGTTGTTTGTGGCGGCGTTGCTATGGTTGTCGTCGTTGATGGTGTTGTTGTGGTGTTGATGGTGGTGGTGGTGCGAGTGATCCATGTCGTATGGGTCGTCCTCACTGGCAGCTGTAGCAGCTATTCTTGGTGGACGAGGTCGGGCGGCAGCGCTGCCTTGGCCACTCCTACTTGCCAGTGACAGGGAGCTGGCTGCAGAGAGGAAGCTCGCCTTACGTTCGTTGTGGTACGCGATGCCGTGATTTGTGGTCTGCATGCTTACGTTCACTCCGATGGCCGTGAAGCGCACACATATATCGGCGATCACGTGCTCCCGCGCGCGCGTGTGTGTTCTATGTGTTGGGTCGTGTAAAGTGCGACGGCGTGTGCCGCTGAGCGTGTCCCGTGGCGTGCGTGTCTGCTGTGCGGGGAGTTAACAACAATCTCTGGACAGGCCAAGCTGGCGCCAACCAGAGGTCAGTGCTGTTGTAGTTATCGAGAGGTCGATGGGTGAGGAATCGTCCCTTGCCCAAAGGGTGATGTTGTTGTTGATACTGCTGGTGCTGCTAATGACGCAGTTTTTGCAACTGTTGCAACTGCTGTTGATGGGCACGCGATGTGCCTACCTGATTGACCCCACCTTGGTCAGACAACCTTGCTGGCCACTCAGTCACTTATTCAACAAGGACGGAGGACTTCAGGAGCTGTAGCTAGGGAGTATGATGTGGTTTCGTGCAACGTTCCAACGTAAAAACCACTAATCCAGCGAGGGAGCAACAGGCTGCGCTGTAGAGCAGCTTGCTCGCTTCGCTTGCGTAGCACGGTGGCAACCGTTGTCTAGAGGCAAACACGGCTCTCAAGTGCAGCCGGTGAGCGGTGTGCTGTGCGGAAATGCCAGTCACGAAATCATGACGTTTGTGTATGCTGGTGTCGGTTGTCGACCATGGTCCTGTCATCGGCATTTGTCCGCGCCACAGTGTCAGCCCGCGCGAGGCAAGTCACACGTCACACGGCGGGTGGGGTGAGAGGTGAGGGCCTGAGGGCTGTACGCTTTGAGTTCCAGCCTAAATCAAACCCTAATTTCAGGGTCGGCAACAAAGCAAGGGGAAAAAAAAAACGGCCAGCGCCACGTCCACAAACAACAACCAACAACCAAACCAAACCAAAAGCCAACCATGCCCGCTGACCTTCCCATTGACAAGTCCCTCGGTGCGCTCGCTGGTGCTGCTGTGGTGGTGCTGCTGTGGTGGTGCTGTGCGTTGTGGGTAGTGAATGTTAA